AGCAGCAACTAGTGTGCAATTGTTGTCTTCTTTTAATGATGCATGTTTACAATCTGTGTATGAATAAATCAGACACAGCGAAACATATTAACAAATAACAGAGAATTAAATGTTGCTCTGAAGCAATTATATTAACTCTTGAAGTCCCACATGGTTATTATCCTAATTATGATCACAGTGTAACACAATATGGTCTTTTTTTACTTTCTCTCTGTCTTCTCTCTCTCTTTCTTTTTCTCTTTCTCCTTCTCTCTCTTTCTATATCTCTTTAACTCTATCTCTCTCTATTTATATATACATATACATACACACTTACACACTTTATAAGTATACTTCATTTACATCTAAATTCACCATTATAGATGTTATTTTAGAAAATGTCTGTTGTATTTCAGACAAAACACCAATGTTTAATGATTCACTTGGCTTTTAAAATAGAAAATTGCAGTTTATAATTAAGGTCCCATTTGGTAAGTGATGTTAGGCATTTAAATACTATGAAACAATGTGAAAAGAAAATAAGCAGTAAGAATGAAAATTTGTGCTACTTATCTTTTTTTTTATTGTTGTTGTAAATTGTACAATCTATTGTTTATGTTTTCTTTGTTCAAAGTTAAATTGTTGATGTACTCCTTAGTAATGAAAGTTAACTTAGTATCTTGAAAGTTTTTGAAAATTTAGAACAGCTGTGTTCAGATCATGAATTATCTATAATTTGTGTGTTCCGAAGTTCTACATATCTGGGCATGACAGTGTAAAATGAGTGATCAAACCAACTGGCAGGTGGTTCACTAATACAAGTTTTAAGAAGCAAACTATATAAACTAGACTTATAGATGAGGAATATTCTCTTATGCAAACCTGCCCTTGTAGTCATTTTATATTTAAAGGACTAAATAATACAAAATAAACTGACTAGAAAGCTCAACAGAGGAAATGAAAAGATGCATAGAAATACAAACAAATGTTTTGATCAGATTTTATTAATGGAGTACTAAGTACAACACCTATTTTGAATAGAAAAATTGATGGACAAGACAACAGAATTAGTTTAATAAAATAAGAATAAAAACCGAAGGTCATCATGCAGTCTTCAAAGTCAGGATAAGGGACACAAATAATTTTAAGAACAGTAGAGAAATTAGACTACTGAGTATGCATAGGAATTCCAAATGTTCACTAATGATAGTTGCGTATCCTTTACAGGACGTTGCAGAACCAACCCTAACAGCCCCTGGCTGTTGTGTGGTTTCTCTAGGCAATTTACATCCAGTAGTTTGCCATTGCTTTCTGGACGGTCGGCTTTCTTGATACCACTGTCGAAACCAACCCAAAGCGCATTGCCTGCAGCTGGGATCGAACCTGGCATCCCGGCATTACGAACCGAAGCGTTCGCATCGACTTAGCCACAGAGCCGACTCACTAATGATAATAACATAAATAATAACATGATCATTATAACATAGCCTAACTTTGTGTTTTTCAATGTTAGGTTGTGATTACAGAGGTGAAAAGATCCCTTCTGGTAGCAAGATCAAAACACCTGATGATCCATGTACACAATGCTATTGTGAAATGGGTAATGTCCAGTGTACAACAGTGGACTGCCCCAGTACTGGTGAATGCAGAAATGTTGTCACCCCAGAGGGTCAGTGTTGTCCTATATGCCAGGATTGTGGTGATTATACTCAAGGTGAAGTGTGGAATCCAAGCCCATGTCAAGAATGCATATGCCAGGTAAGGAAAAAATTAACTATGTTAAAATGAAAAATGTTAGACACATACAATAGATTGCTTTCTGAGTTGAAGTGGTTCAGCTATTTGCCCCTGCTCTGAAAGTTATGGGTTTGATTTTAAATCATTCAGACTTGTTGAGAAAAAAACAGATAGATTGGGTGGTGCTGTACCACTTGGGGGTAAAACTGGGTGGTACTACCCCATTTTGGGGTAAATTAATGCAAGACAAGCTAAGTGTGGTCACAACCCTTAAGGAATGAATGAACAGTGTGGAAATACAAATATAGCACCATGGTTTGAAGAGAATGGTGCAGCAAGGGGTAACCAGGGGATCTGGCCAACAGTCAACACTGAGAGGAACTATAAGACAAAAAATACAATCAGACAGCTGCTGATACCATCAGTACTGGCTGCTGAAGATAGAGCACTTATGGGAATATCCTGAATACTGTGATGTCAGTTCTTAACTCTTTGAGTCCCAGGGGGTTTAGCATCAGAGGCCCAAGGGGTAGTCAAAAGAGAAGTAAAATCGGCATATAATGAGTTCATTGGGCTTCTAGTTAGGAACCTATGAATGTATGCTACCTTTCTTGGGACTCAAAGAGTTAAATCAGGTGAGATTATTTGGTTTGTGAAAGCAAGTATTCAGTGTCTTAATTTGAGTCATTGGTGCAGCCTCACAGATTATGCTTTGTATGATGCTGTCAGTGAGCAACCAGCCTTTCTATAAATAAGTGTTGTTTTTGGTACGTCTCCATCTTTCTGACAAGAGACTTGCGCAATATAGAATTAAACTTGATACAATAGATTCACACCTGTCTCCTTTAATAACTTTTTGTTTGTATCTTTCCATCTTTCCAGATGATGGTATTATATTGTGCTCTAGGGACACATGGGAATTGTAGTCCATAGTGATGAGGATTGTGAGTAACAAGTCTCACTCACGTTAAGAAAAGTCTTCCACAGTTAGATCATGAGCATTCAGAACTGTGAGGGGAGGTCATTAAGTAAAGGCAATTGCATTAATATTTTACAAGCTGCCAGAACAAAATTGTTCTGTGTCCTGTTTCTTAATTTATTCTTACTACCTTGCTACACATATAGTTCACCAATCCACAAGATGTGGATGCCCATCAGGTAGAAGCTTTTGGGTTTGACCAGTAACCAAATTGACACCACCGAGATTACCTCACTGTCTTTTGCTAATCTCTGAACCCACAATTGTTTTTATAATGGGCCAAACAAGTGAAAGTCTAATGGTGCCAAGTCTGGGTGGTATGCTGGATGTTTCAATAGTTCTGTCTTTAAAGCGGGAGTGGAGAAGGCAGAATGGAGATTACAGAAAAGAGAGTGACAGCATAAACAAACTCAACAGGAAAGAACAAACATCAATTTTTAGACTTCGGACTGGAAACTGTGGTCTTCGAGCACGCCTATACAGGATAGGCATAAAAGAATCTGCTACCTGTGATTGTGGAGCAGAAAGACAGACCCCTGTGCACATACTACAGTACTGCCCTTACCTCTCCCAGCAAAGACTGTGGATCTGGCCCAAGGGAGCCACATTGCAAGAGAAGCTATGGGGGACCGGTGGCAACCTTAAACGCACAGTCCTATTTGTGACCCAGTCAGGACTCAATGTTTAGCATGACTGATGTCGAACGCAGAAGAAGAAGAATAAATAGTTCTGTGACTTGAAATAATATATTTTTCTTCTGCATACTCTTCCATGCAGGCTAGTATAAAATTGCCTTTACTTAATGACTTCCCCTTGTATTACTGCCATCACATATATTTAATTTTCATCTTTTCAGATGCTATGCCCCTACACAATCTGCAATCACTTTCTCCTTTATCCCAATTCCTTTCATGATTTCCTCCTACATCAACTTGGGTCAATGGCATCCTGTTTCCATAAATCCACCTCACTGCTTGTATCATTCATGTCCTGCTCGCAGACATCTTTATATCATAGTAGAGGGTTATCTAGACATCTGCTACCCATTCTGTGCAACCTCTTATAAACTATAGACTGCACACAGTATTTACAGGAATATTTTGATATATCTTGTAAGGTGCATACTAAAGAATTAAATCAATATTCAGTCATTGGAAGTTAGGAAAAGAATTCTCGCATGCTTATAGAGCCAGTTTTAACATGCAGCTCTGAAGCCTGGATAATTAATAAACAAGCTGAACAATATCTTGAGGCCTCGAAGATGTGGTTTTACAGAAGAATCCTTAGAATTCTTTGGACAGCTAAAAAGAGCAACCCAGATGTTTTGAAAAAGGTGAGTGCTCGAAGACAACATCACAAACATCAGAAAGAGACAGTCATTAATTTTTGGTCATGTTATGAGAAGAGGAAAAATGGAACATATTGTGACCACTGGAAAGATCTGTGGAAAGAGACAGAGGAAACCAGTGCAAGAAGTTTCTTGTCTTTTTTCATGGCATGGAGGGGTGTCAACACATAAACTGATATACGCAGTCACGAATCGCAGATTGTGGGGAAGCATGAAATCTGACACTATTCGGCAAGGCACTTGATAGTGATGATTCAATCATTATCATCAGTTGTTGTGTCATTATATGTCAGCATAGGGCTCACATTTTTGTCTTCCTCTTTTTTTGTCCTGGGCAGTTCTTATTATGGATGAAATCCAGTCCAGCACAAGTGGCCTCTCTAAACCACATTTATCTTAGGGTTTCTCAGCATAAAATAAAAAGCAATAAATGAGTCTTTATGTTTCAACATAAAAGCTCATTTAGAATCTAAAATAAATGAATCTTTATGTTGAAATACAACAGACATATAGGCTATTGTTTAAATGTCACTGTAACAACTACTGGTTTTTAACTGACCTAAAAATCAGGTATAGTAAAAGTAAGTAAAGGGCCCTTTTTTTACACCATAATTTGTGCTAGACATATTTTTAAACCAATCAGCACTCAGTGTTTAATGTAGTCAGTGACACACCAGCCAGCTTTACTTCCCAGAACTTCACCTAGTACCCATTCTAGGCAGGGTCAGCCTAGAAGCTAAGGTCATTTTGGACAAAAACAATCCTTTTTGATTGGGATTCAGACTCAGAATCTTAAGGCAGGAGGCAAACATCTAGTTGCTACGCCACCTACAGGTCTGGCATAACTAGGGATTATGTTACAATAGGATGATTATTTTTCAGTAGTGTATCAGTGTGTACATGTATGTTTAGTGATCAAGTATAACTAACAATAATATTATATCTGTTTCTATGTAGGCAGGTCAAGTGAAATGCAGAGAAATTGTCTGTGATGAACCAAAATGTGAACACCCTTACACATCCTCAGAGGAATGCTGCCCTCAGTGTAAACGTAAGTGTGTGTGCGTGCGTGTGCATGTGTGTGCATGAGTGCATTTGTGTGCATGCGTGTGCGTGCCTTAGTAGGCAAAGATATCATGTGTGTCAAAAGTGATATTAGTTGTTCCAGTATCTGATTAGCTTGTTGACTTCTCCATCCAATTTTCCTTTAGTTGTGAAAATGTACCCTAGTTATTCAAACTTACATGTCTGTTTTTTTCCTTTTTTTTTTTTTTGTTGCAGACTGCTTGTACAGAAATAAAGTGTACCGAGATGGAGAAGAATTCACACCACATCCCTGCTCAACCTGCACTTGTGCCAGAGGCAGTGTTGTGTGTGCCTCCCTTCAGTGTGACAGGGCTGACTGTGAAAATCCTGTCACTCTGCAGGGTCACTGTTGTCCATCATGTGGCCTTGGTAAGTTAGCTGTTTGTTTCAAGAGGGTTAATGGTTGCATTTTTATGTTGCCTTGTAAGAATTTTGTTAAAATGGAGCACATTGCTATAATTCTCTGAAACTGTACCTAAGAAACTAGACGACAAGAAGAAGAATCACAAGAAATCTTCAAACTTGGCCATTTTTATAAAAATTCAAGGGGTTGATTAAACCTATGATAAACAGATAGGCAATTGATGGCCTCTGCAAAATTGCGACCATCAAGTTGCTCAAAAATGTTTTGATATTTTGAGTCATTATATCATGCAAAGATATTTTTTTTTAACATAAAGGTACATAATTAGTAAATACAAATGCAGCATAGAATAAACTGATTTCCTTTTATTTGACTGTGAAACCGAGGGTTTTGTTGATACATAACATAAAATAACCCTTCACACATTAGGGTCGTGGAGGTGTATTGGCAGATGGTCAATTTGTATTGATAAAAGCACTAGCACATAAAACCTGCCATCTTTCTCTGTCTTCACCTTGATGAATAACTTAGTCCTGTCCATTTCTTCATGTTGTCATTCTAGGTTCTTCTTTGCCCTCCTCTTCTTCGACTACCCCCCAGTGTTCCTTGAAGTATAGTCTTTACAATCAAATCATGTCTCAACACATCCCTAAACCAAACTAACTTGCGAGATTTCACCACTGTCAAGAGAGGCTCCTGATGTCATGCAAATTTGTATATTTTGTCTCTGACATATTTATTAGTTTTGTGTTATAAATAACTATTTCGTAAAATGAATCTGTAGCATTTACATTCAAAGCCTAAATCCTCCTTTCCATTTCCACACTGAGAGTCCAACTCTCACAACTGGATAAGAAAATAGACAATACCAGTGATATGTAAATATTGACCTTGACTGCAATGCTGATTTTGCTCTTCCACATTATATTCAGCTGAGACATTGTGGCAGTTGTCATATCAAGTCTTGTCTTGATCTCTTTGGTACACCTGCCATCAGTGCATATGTGGGAGCCAAGATATTTAAAGGTTTCAACTTCTTCTGGTTTTTTCCCTTTTATCTGTATGTTGGAGGGTACTACAGGTATATATATATAGTTTGGATGGACAATAATTGTTTATATAATTATAACATGCTATACGTCACAACTATAAAATATATCCAAAACTATATATATATATTTTTTTTTTTTTTTTTTTTTTATTTATCTATTCATGTGCACACATTTTACAGTTGCAATCAGTAACAAATCTGTTGTTTAGGCATAGTGGTCACTAAACAAAGATGCTGAGTCATTTAAAAAAAAAAAAGTTAAAGTCCCAAAACTGACTCTCTCTGGGAAACAGGGTTAAAAATTGTTATGGGTTCTGCTGCTAAATTTTTGGGTAAAATAAACATAGACTTACTGCCCATCTAAGAAAGGGTTTGCCAAAGTTGTATGTGTTTGGCTGTAAACCCTAACATAACTTGCCAAACACCCCTTAAATAGTTAATGAGGAAGGAAAAGATGGAGGAGGAAGAGGATGAGGATGAAGAAAAGGAAGAAGAAGAAGAAGAAGCATTAGTTATAACCCTGAAGAAAAAAATAGCCTACAATACTCTTTGGAAAGGAGAGCACAACCATTATCCTTATATTATTTAAATCCCCCCCCCCCCACCACCCATCTTTCGCAGAGGTAAATCGAGGAACAGAAGAAAAACAAAAAGAAAAATACATTTAAGGAGTATCTTGGCTGCCTTTATGAAAGTATTGCAATCATGCTTTATGAATTGTCTTTGTTATTCCTTAAGGCATATGCTAGGAAACTGTATGGAACTGAAAGATTTAACGAATCATGACATTCCCACACCTGCTCCATCTCCTTCTTTAGTAGCAAAGTAAGAATCAATATGCTATCTTCAGCAGCGAGCAAAAAGTTTTGGTTCTAGGTGGTACTATTGTACTTGTTGCAACCCCATTTAAAGACCGCCTATGTTTTCCCCACAGTGTTGAATTTCTTCCAGACTCCCTCATCACCACTCACTGAATTAGTCTGTCAGTTTATATATCCTCGGTCTGTTCTGTTGCATGTCCTCTTGGTCCCAGAGAGCCTTCACCACTTCCACTTTATCATAGCGTAGTTCACCACCCATAGGAGCGCCAGCAGCCAGTCTATCAGCTTGCTCATTAGCTCACACACCTAAATATTCTGCTCAGATTTGATGTGAAAATAATTTTTTTTTGTGGTTTAGTTGAATGATTTTCCTCATTAAATCTAAGTATAATGTATTTTCTTTTTAATTTTCCAAGAATGCCAGTATGAAGGTAACAAATATGAAGATGGAAGCAGTTTCAATCCCGAATATGACCCTTGTCTCAACTGCTCCTGTTCAAACTCAATTGTCAGATGTAAACCAGTCAGATGTGAAACAGAAAATCTACCCTGCCGCAGACCTATTCGCAAAGCAGGAGAATGCTGCCCTTCATTTTGTCCTTGTAAGTGAGACATTATTTATTTAAATTCTTGTAAAAAATGTGCTTTCGCATGTTTAAAATAAAATGGGGTGAAAACAACATACAATTATTTGGAAAATAATGTAAAGTCGTTTGGTTGCCCTCTTTAAAAAAAAAAATTGCCTAGAAAAAATATCCAAGGTGCAATTCTTTATTTACAATAAAGGAAATAAAAATGGTATAGTAACCCTCTGAACCCAAGAAATGTTATAATAATTACAGAAAACAGCAACATCTTATGTGTGTACATTAGCTTTTAGGTGAAAAAAAAAAAGCAAAATGCTTGTAAACAGCGAATGAAAAGCTGAGCTGAGTTGAAATGAGTTTAAGATTGACAACAAAGAACTCAGAACATTCCCATTTGTACTTCATCCATATCTTCAGCAGCGAGCAAAGAGTTTCGGTTCTGATGGTATTAGAAATTGTTTTGCTACATTTTTTAAAATAAACTTTGTGAGATACTGCTCCAGAGCCATATTGGGTCAGGTGTGTACACATGAAATACATGAAAGACTTGAGAGAGATGACTTTTCACTTCAACCAGAGCATTAGAACCGCTTCGATACCTCTGGATTGTGTGCAAATGGGAATGTCTAAGTGCTGTGATGTCAGTTCTTGACCTAACAACTCAACACCTTAAGAGGTGCTGTAAGGTACCTATGGCTTTGTTTTTTTTTTTTGTACTTGAAATGTGTGCACAGGCATCCTTTCAGACTGCCATTTCTCTTCATTTCCAGCTTGTGAGGATCAGGGAGTTGAACATTTTGAGGGTGAATCATGGCCGTCACACAATTCTCCATGCGAAAGGTGTGAGTGCCAGGGAGGAAAAGTTATTTGCCTCCCAATAACAGACTGTACAGAAAAGTGTACTCATGGAATTATCAGGCCTAATGAATGTTGCTCACAGTGTACAGGTAATCCTTCAAATTTGTATCCACTGAACTGTGACTAAGAAGCTTAACTCTTTGAGTCCTAGAGGGTTTAGCATCACAAGGCCCAAGAGGTAGTCAAAAGAGATGTAAAATCAGCTCATCATGCGTTCATTGGGCTTCTAGGCAGTAACCTATGAACGTACTATGCGTTCCTTGGGACTCAAAGAGTTAACAAAGTAGTAGTAATTTTTCAAAGAATATCCTGTTCAGCCCTCAGGGTTATAATTGGTTAATATAGTGTTAATTGAGTTCTTAGAGTATATACTTGTTGTTATTAAATTTTTATGTCATGTAATTATTGTAAGACCAAAACGTAATTTGTATTGTATAAAAGCTTAACAAAGAGGGAAGGGAAACAAACAAAAAACACACTCAAAAACCACACACACGCATGTGCGCACGTGTGCACATACACACATGTCTACTATGACTATGAAGCACAATCAAGGGAGAAAGAAAGACACAGCACAGACATAATTAAACTTGACTCACTCCCATTTTAGGGCTGATAATTAGGGTTCTTTTTCTTCTTGCTTATGCTGTTGAAAGACTGGTTGAAATTTGTGGGTCTACCTGTGCTTCCCCCTTGTGGTTCCGATATCAATCCTGTGTTTCACACAAGATATAAACTATTATTTAATGTGAAAAGGCAGAGTTTAGCTGGTTGCTTCTCCCCCATACATTATGCATTCACCTAGTGCATTTCTAGGTTGGCCTAGCCTTTAAAAATGTGTACCAGGAAATATTCTGAGAATTAATCGAGTGCTAGTTGTTCTGTAATGATCTATAGCATAATATTCTCACTGTGTCATTGATTTGGAAAAGGTTCTTAATTTTTTTTTTCTATGAGCATATGCAAGGTACAGTGCTTTACATTATCTGCAATAGAAATTATTTTGAATACATTGATGTCTGCTAATAATAGGAACTTATGAGTGATTAGGATCTGATCTCTCTCTTAACAAACATTTGTCTCAACCACTCTAAGAGAAATGGGATGTCACATTTTGCAAGTCCACAGTGTTCTACATGTTAAATTAGAAGTATTCAGGATTTACGAGTAACCACTAATTTCACATTTCATATTTAGACTGCCTTTTTGAAGGCCGCATAGTTCTCGAAGAGAAAACAGTCAGTATAAGTGATGGAGACATTTGCCGTCTGTGCACGTGCTATGCAGGAGAAATGATGTGCCAGAGTATACATGTGGCTTGGGATTGTCCAAAACTGGAGTGTAAGAAAACTGAAACACCACCTGCAGATTGCTGTCCAGTATGTTCAGGTCAGTTGACAAATTGTGTATTTTTACAGAAGTGCCTTATTTTAATTTCCTAAATACTCCTAAGGTAATATGGCAAAGTATGCCCTGTGTGTTTCTGGGGTCCCCGTTTTGGGGAAAGACAAGAGTAAACCTCTTGCCACCCTAACAAGAAATGTCGTAAAAGGTGTCTAACTAAGGGCTTTAATTTGAATGTCAGAGTGCATCTGCCTGAGAGACAAGGAGCCAACAGTCTGCATACAAATGAGCTATATTTGTAAAAACAAGACTTAAGTAGTCAACAAACAGCTAAAACTAGAATACAAAGATATAGCAAAATTTGGTTTTGATGATCTATTTTGCCAGCAGATGTCTACACTAATATCCCCATAGTACACATTTCTTTAATATCGTTATCTGTGTAAAAGGAAACACAAAAATGTGTTTACTCTTTGAGACCCAAGGAATGCTTCACATGCTATTTGGTAACTATCCAGTGACTCATTCGGCACGGAACGCTACAGGTTTTAATTTACCACTCACCAGTATAAATGAGTGACCTGACAATTGAAACTTTCTCTCTAGTTCTTTCTGTTCAGTAACATATGTTTTGACCACTGTTTTTTTTTCGGGGGGGGAGGGGGGGGGTGTGGGGGGGGGGGGTGGGGGGGGGGGGGGGGGGGTGGGGGGGGGGGGGGGGTAGGGGGGGGGGGGGGGGGGGGGGGGGGGGGGGGGGGGGGGGGGGGGGGGTGGGGGGGGGTGGGGGGGGGTGGGGGGGGGGGGGGGGGGGGGGGGGGGGTTTGGGGGGGGGGGGGGGGGGGGGGGGGGGGGGGGGGGGGGGGGGGGGGGGGGGGGGGGGGGGGGGGGGGGGGGGGGGGGGGGGGGGGGGGGGGGGGGGGGGGGGGGGGGGGGGGGGGGGGGGGGGGGGGGGGGGGGGGGGGGGGGGTATGGGGGGGTGGGGGGGGGGGGGGGGGGGGGGGGGGGGGGGGGGGGGGGGGGGTAGAAGCCTAAAATATGGTATGTTTGTGAGGTTTACTATGTCACTAAGTTTTTTGTTTGTAAAAAGTATGGCTGCCGAGCTGTCTTCATGTGTGCTAACATGATTTATGTATTTAGAAGCCTCAAATTTAAATAAAACGTGTTTATCCGATTTATTTGAAGTTAGATGGAGAAAGTTGCTAAGTAGACTTGTTTCTGTCAGTTACAGAGTCAAACTTTGATGAGCCATAACCGAAATATATACCTCATTCCCAATTCCAATTTGTCCAACAAAAATTCCAAATTTGATCCTCTTTCAGCCGCCCGGAGGCCTGCTATATCGAAGAAGGGTCCTTAGCTGTCTTATATGGTTTCCTTTTATTTGTGGTGTGTAGTCACACCTGATATTATGGCTGTTTGCTTCCTTGCTGTGCTGCTTGTGGTATTTTGGTTCTGGTGTGATCCAGATCTCCTTGTGATGTTATCGACGGGTACTAGCTGACTGTTGCTGACGCTTGGCTTGCCTCATGCTGGTCGCTCTGCTGGTGCCCTGTTGCTGCTTGGTTGCTGATCTGTAAGCCGCCGGAAAAAGCCAAACAAACACCAGGTCATAACGCCTCTACACAATGTTCCTTTTCAGGACAACCAGGGCCGTCACAATCTGTTGTTGTGATCAGCCCGTTTTTTGTTTTTGTTTTTTTTCCACGAAGTGTGGAGATGTAGTGGAGGTAAGATAGACTGCAAATGAGAGATCAATTATATACCTCATGCAGAATTTACAACGATAACAAAGTCAGCTGGTACAAAGTGAATCAATATTAGTGAAAAAAGCATTTATTTAGCGTCAAGTAATTTTTCTGCTATTGCCCTTATTATTAAGGAACATAGCTACAATATTATGGGCAAATTGAGTGTTATATAAACTTTGTTTTGTGTTAGGGTACTAATTGTTTTGGGAAGTAGTTTCTTTTTACCAAATATAGTACTCTGTTATGGTGTTCCAATAGTTTCTCTGAAACGAGATCTAATGAACAGATTGTGTTTATATTATTTTACACATTACTTAGTGGTTCATGTTCATTTATGATTCATTTTGGGTATATTGTATTGAGTTTTCCTCAAGCACCATGGTGGAAAGTGGACAATTTAATACTTAAATTTACTAATTTCTCTATTTACTAATTTCTCTAAACATCTTGTCTGTTTATATTTAGCAGTACTCTAATATTATTCCTCAACAGTCCCTGGTCACTAAAATTAAATTTTGAATTAAGAATCAACATAATAGCACTCTGGACACTCCCATAAGTTCTCCGTTCCCCATATTCAGCAACCAAGTAAAGAGTGCCAATTCTGATGCATCAATAATTGTCTGATTGTATATTCGTCTCACCTTCCCCCTGAGTGTTGAGCTCCCTGATCATCATTTTCAAGTAAAATATGTGTATTTTACAAGGCAACTAATTAGTATAGTGTGTTTTAATTTGAAATGTGAAATTTCAAAATTGCATTACCACCCCTTTGGCCTCTGATGCTAAACCCCCTAGGACTCAAATAGTTAAGATCGTATAGAGATCCACAAGCTCATCATGTCTCACATGGAACTTAGGTCAAATGAATATAAATCACGACTATGCAAATACAATTTTCTACATATGAATAATGATTTAGCCTAATGTTGAGTACCAGGAAATATTCTGATACTGCTGAGAAAGCTAGCATGATGTTATCTATGTTACCAATATTATAAATGAGTGTCAATAGATTTGTACAGATTAGAATATTTTTTTTTAAATAAATATATTAGGAAAATTAATAAAAATTAGTTAGTATATTCCAATGAATGAATGAAAGTATATTCCAATGAATGAATGTATTAATCAGTCAATGAAAACTTGATATCACTGCAAGATTTCAACACGTGTTCTGTCTCTTACCTCAGTAGCCAAGGAAGAGTTAATGTATCAAGCTAAGCGTACACACTCCATTGTGAAAGAAGGAATTTATTAAAACATACCACATAAACATTCTGTTTAAAAAAAAAAACTGCATAAATACTAAGAAAATTAGTATAAATGATAACACCTCCAAAAAAATAAAATGAAGGTCCCTTTTCCACGCTTTTAGGTGTATAGGGCATATAGGGCTAGAACTATATTTTTTATAGATCAATCGGCACAAGATGGGTGATGTGGTCAGCATCACGCCGGCCACCTTTCATTCCTCGGATTGCACCTGGCACCAACTCAAGGCTGGGTGAACCTTGTAGTCAAGGTTATTTTTTTTTAAAGTCGGGCTCTGCCAGGAAGCAAACCCACGACCTTCCGATCCGCATACAATTGTAGTATAAGTGATAATGGACAATATATGACACTATAACTAAATGGAGAGAAAAAAAAACACCAGGTATTGATGAATAGTTGTGTGATATGAATGTGCTGCAGGTTCAGTGTAGTGGTGGCAAATCATAATCTGTAGAAGTATATTGTTCATTTAAAGATCATCTTTATCACACATCAGACATGACTATAAATGTCCTCATGAGTATGTCTTCAAATGTTTTTAGGCTAACAATTCCAAATGTCTGTCCACTGCTTTAGTCTTGTTACAGAACTTCAAGTACTGCTTTCACATCTGCTTTACAAATTTGGCTTATTCATGTGCAGACTGTTGTTGAAACTATGCATGGACAGTAAATCCAAGATGAATAGGGCTAAATATATACTTGCCCATGGACTTGAAATATCAAGAAAAGGCAGAATGGCCAAAAGAATTGTAACAGAAAACAAGATTAACATTCTTAAACAATGACATTTTTAGCAGTACTGATTCTTGCTAATACTAACACCAACAGCAAAAGTTTTAAGACTAGCATTGCTAGATGTGTAAATTTACTTATTACCAATGCTTTATCAAATGTGTAAAGCTGAACTTGTATAAATTTGTTTTCAGTTCAATATACATCATAAAAAAAGTTATATGTAAAAATGCAATAATTCTGTGTAGGTTGCAGTAATGAAGGACGAAAATTCAAAGATGCAGAAGTTGTTTCCTTAGACGAATGTTCGCACTGTGTTTGCAGTCAAGGTAGGCACTGATAGTTTTACATGGTTCACAAGAGTCACCCCATTTCATTCATGCACAAGATTTTGTGCTGACCTAAATTCATGTTGTGCCACAGGCTGTCCTATGTTGTGGGGGTGTTCTGAAATTGTTTGCTTCACCGTGTTTAACACCTGCAGCAGGTTTTTTTTGCAGCTGTTTTCTGTGAATTGTAGGTCTCAGGTGCTGAAGTCCCGTGAGTATGAGGCAGAAATACTGCAGAAAGAAACATGGAAGGTGCGATGCTTCTTAAGTGTCAAATTACGGATGTTTTTGTATTATTACGTTGATTGGCAGTGGCTGTCATCACTGGTGGATCTGCTGGAAATGGTCAAAATGAGGAACACATAACACCCCTAGACTATAGGAGTTTCCCTGGAAATATCCCAAGTTGCTGATGTGGTCACTTTTGTGATTTGTACCGGTAACAGAAAATATATTATCCGTCAAGTACTATCTCCTCAACAAAGGTTGGCTGCACTGAATCTCCAGCACTGTCTATTGCTTTGATTGTATGCTGTGACAGACTGTTGTTTATTTACATCTTCCCACCTGAATATTTGTCAACTTTTGCTAACATGTCATTGGATGTTTCCACTTGTCTGCAGATAAGATTTCAAGGAGGGTTCCCTATTATTATTATTATTATCGATCACCGGCTGTGAATTCCAGTGGAAGGTCCAGGTTAATCGTCCGCTTGGACTTTTGGCTTTCACCTGGACCTGATTTTTGCGTGTACAACCGTTTTTCATTTCCCTGCCTCATGGGCAGCTGTACTCCGACTTTGAAGGAAGACGTCAGGCCTATTTCTAGGGGACTGTGGGCCATTGTTTTGTGTGGGTCGAGACGTTGCCTGATTTGTGTGGTGTCCACTTTGTCTCCTTCGCCCGCAGGTATTGCCCCCGGAGTACCCTTTTGGGCAGCCCTCTGTGGAACAGTTAGCCCTCAAGGGAAGGCAGGGGCAGATCATGGGCATTCCCCCGCATCCAAGGAGGCTTCCATGCATGCAGAGCGGCACATGGCGCTCTGGTTCTGGGCTCACCCAAGGAATCGTCACGTCCTGCACATGCCTGCTTTTAACCTCACAACCGTATCAGGCCTCCCGCTCGACAGGGGCTGGCGCCCTCTGGAAAGTCAGCGGGGAGCAGCCCGTTGGTTTTGGACTTTTGTGACCACACAGATAGGTACATTCTTTTTTTCTTCGCACGTTATATTTCTTTGACGAGCCGTTAGCCCGACAGAATTTTACATCCTGCATCAGGCATATCGTTATCAGTTTTGTCCCAACACTCGGGCGAGTGGGGTCTTTGGGTGTGGTAATTTGGTCTTTTTTTTTTTTTTCAGTTCAATACAAATTTTGATGGTTCAGATTTTGATCCGTATGATCTAGTTTTGTCGGACATTTAGGTCTTAGCCATCCGAGGATGGTTGCTGTTGTGGTACGTACCTCAGCGCTGGGGGTGACGACGACAAAATAGGGTTAACCGAGGATGTACATGAATGGCCAGCCTATGGATGGTTGCTGTTGTGGTGTACCTCAGCGCGGTGACGACGACACTGAGGGTTAACCGAGAGGATGTACAAGGATGGTCCAGCCTATGGATGGTTTGCTGTTGTGGTGTACCTCAGCACGGTGACGACGACACTGAGGGTTAACAGAGGATGTGCAGTGAACAATGTTCTCTTTTACTCCGCAGTCTCTTTACACCAAGGGTTGTAATTTTGGCTGTACGTTTGGCAAACCTACTCATGTTCCTAATGAGTTTTGATAACATTTTTCACCCAAGCGTTTGGGGGCGGGCTGATGAGGGCCACAAGAACACATCACCTCTGGGGGCCGCCGAACTCCGAGATCCCCTGACAGCTCTGTTAATGCTCATTTGAGACATTATCCGTGGCGCACGACGAGGACGTGCTGTAGGGATCTTGCGTGAGGTTCCGTACAACCAGGATAGTGAAGGACTGGCGCCCGAGTGACGTACGGAGTATCTCCTTATACACATCATGTTGGACTTAACTTCCCCTCACGCCTGTGACATAAATCACCGCGCCACCCCTCATATATGATGCATTTTGGGGAGGAGTGGGGCTGAAAGGGCTATTAACATGAAATGAGAAGCTATACTGTTTAAAAACAATGCAATGCCACCGAAAGAAATGCACATTTTTGCATAATTTTGACATTCAAAATCTTTGTAATTTAGTGAGATGAAATTGTTCAAATTGCACACCATAATATACCTTAGGGCCTCAACCAATCAGTTTGACAGTTATTTTAAATATGGGTCTTGATAGTTTTTGGGGATATAGGCGTTTCCTCCATCAACTATATAATAAGGGTGCCATTTGGATAATTATAAATTTTTTTTTTCAAACAGGAAAGCACCATTGGAAAACTATAGTTTTTTTTTTTAAAACAATATATGATCTCATTCATATCCCAAGGAAGGGCATCATACTTTCATAGGTACCTACCTATGAGTCCTATAATGATGGAAGATGTGTTGGCTATACATTTCTCTGTATAAATCCATTGGGTTTCTGATGCTAAACCCCTTTGGCAAGACTGCAAGAGCATATGAATGATGCCCATTTTTTGTTTGGGGAAAAAAAACGCTGTTCTGTGGAGAGAGAGCCATGTAGGTTTCAATCTAGTACAATGATCCAATCCTCTCAACTTTCAATGTTTCAACTAGACGTACTGTAAACAAGAAAAGTCAATTACCTTTTCTAAAACTCTTTTAGTTTTTTGGTCATTATCACTGAGGCATGTGAAGAGTATAAAAACAAAATAATAGATGTATACTTTACTGTAATAATGACCCAAAATTTACGCCTTGTAGAAAGACAAATGCATCATCTGAGTTGTTTTTCTATGCCCGACAAAACATGTAGTGCACAAAACACATAACATTTGGGTTGGCATCATATGAGTAACCCCCACTGATATATGGATGTTGCATCATACTGAATGAGTTAAAGGCCAAAAATAATTCAATGGGCGATCAGTATCCTGCTTTAATTATATAGCTGAGTTGAGTTGAGAATTGACATCATAGCACTCTGGGCATTCCTATGTGCTCCATCCCCATCCTCAGCAGCCAGTACAGAGTTCCAATACTAATCTTGCCAGTCGTAGTCTGGTTGTATGTCTGTCTTGCCTTTCCTCTAAGCACAGTGTGCCGGCCATACCCTCTGATTACACCCAGGTGCATCATTCTCTCCAGCCCATAATAATATAGTTTCTATTTTGACTTTGTTACTTGTTCCCAAAGGGCTTTGACCACATCTGCTTTGTCATGCATCGATTCACCACCCAGCGGTGCAGATCCAGCCAGTCTATCTGGCTGTTCATTCTCCACCACATCAACATAACCTGGAGAAAAGATCCAAAGTATGCTCACTACCTGTGACCTTGCAAGTCAAGCTTACCACTCTGCTCGAAGCAATCCTGTCTTCACATTTTTCAGCATGCTTCAGAGTCCATTACAATTAACACATGTGTATGTATCTTGGTCTCTAGCCACCGGCAAGCTGCAGTGACCACCCCCACCTTTATTCTCATGCTAGATGTCGTGGTATTATATGCCAGGCTGTCCTGCACTAAAGAGGCTTTAATAAAGATGCTTTAATTATTTGGTTTTCAATTTATAACATATTTTTGTCTGATTTTCATTCAGGAGAGATTTTGTGCAAAGCTAAAACTGAAAACTGCCCTCCTGCTCTTTGCCGTGAACCAAGAAGGGTTAAAGGAACTGTTGTCCTGTATGTGACAGATGTACAATATTATGGCCAAGACTACCCAAGAAGAAGCTCATTTTTTATTTCACCTATTGATGTTTGTAAGAGATGTATTTGTGATGTAAGAACTATTATAAAGTTTAGTTTCATTTTATGCAATCACAATGAATGTCATTGCACACATAAGCATTTATATGTATGCTCAGTCCTCAGGTTGTAGCAGCCACCTCAAGTTGCCTCTGTCAAATGTTTCCATGAGGAGTTGATTCATTGTCTCTTATCTTGACCTCAAAGACGGCACCCACAAGCTCCACTAGGCATTATCCAAGGTCATACGCTCATGTTAGCATAAGAGATTTGTCAATAACCAAAATTCAAGTCTGTATAGCAATGATGTTTGCACTCCAACTATTCTGTATTCTAGTTTCTGAAGAACAGTGTAATTATTTTAATAAAAGTGGAATCTGATAAACAATATTTAGTTTTAGAACACTGGCAGAATAATATATAAGACAAAAGAGGATTGTCCATCATTTCCTAGATAAAATGCAAGTAGAAACACTGGCAGGGAGAAATAAGAATACATTTGGAATATTGTTTTATTGTGTGCAAAATAAGTCTAGCAAAGAGTGTTGAAGACTTGCTATGCCAATCCACAGTTTGTAAACCTAAACATTAGCAATTCAATATTGCTTTTTAAAGGCAACTAAGCAGCCTATATTATGATATGTAAATTCATTAATGTGAGCTGATATGTGGCATTGTAATTGATATGTATAATCAATGGCTTTTAAACAGAAGCAAGAGTGGGAAACAACCATTGTTTAACTTAATGGCATGAGGGCTTATAGAGGGCGATGCCTGGGGCATAAGAGAGAATGTCTCACAGAAAATTTCAGAGAGAAAAAAAACTGCATATGCTAAAGAGTCGAATTGGAGTAGACCACTAGGCAGACCAAGAAGACTGGAGAGATAATATAGATGCAGATCTACGAATATTTGGAGTCACCAGCTGGAAAGATATGGTAGAGAGATGAATGGAGGCAGCTAATATATCTGCAGCAATGAACCTAAGGAGCTCTGAATGCTGGAAAAAAAATTAGAAGGAGCAGAAGCAGCTGGAAGAAGATGAGGAAAAGGAACTGGAGGAGGAGGGAAAAGGATGAAGAAGAAATAAATGGAAGAAGGAGGAAAACATGAAGGTGGAGGAAAAGAAGAAAGGGAGGAAGATTGAAAGGATAGGAAGAATGATTAAATGAAGGAAGGGAGAAGGAAAGGAAGGGAGACAGAACAGGATAAATGTAGAAGGGAGGGAGGAACAAGGAAGAAAAAAAAAGGATGGAAAAATGAAAAACAGAAAGGGAGAAGAGAGGAAGGAAGGAAGGAAGAAAGGAAGGAGGAATAAAGGAAGGAGGGAAGGAGATTTGTTTTTAAACGTACACAGAATGCATGTATTACTATTTACATTCTCTCAGGTCATTTGATATTGTACAGCAGTAGATGATGTATAATGTCCTAATATCCACAGATGTATTTACTAGTGTGAGTCCATAAGGAAGACATAATATCAACATTTAAATGAGATAAGAATTGTAAGTAATGCTGAAGTGAGTGAGACTGACAACCTCACCCCATTTGAGACTAGATGTAAAAATCCAACCAGTCATGGACAAGCGTGAAAAGGCTTGATGTGAGTTGACTGAGAACCTATGAAAGGAAGATGAAAGACAGAGGAAGATGAAAAATCGTTGTTGTTAGTTTTTTTTTTTTTTTAAACATACAGTTTAGTTTAGTTTTCTCAGCACTGTTTGTCAGTTTAATTGTTATCGTGGTTAGATAGATAAGTTACTGCATTTAATTACTTTTTTTGTCTTGAAGAACGGAAGAGTCTCTTGTACAGCTTTTAGTCAAGAATGTCCGCCAACATCCTGCACACATCCTGGGAGACGCAGAGATCAGTGTTGTCTCACTTGTGATTCTTGTCTGTATCGAGGTAGACCTGTGCGCAATGGACAAAGGTTCAGTGGCAATGAGAATTGCCAGATATGCATCTGCCAGGTAATTTGATAGACATGTTGTTTTAAACTGTTTTGGGCCAGGCAACTTACCTTGCACAATGTGACTGTAATTGAGAATAACAGGTAAAGTCTGCATCCCTTGCTTCTCCACAAGATCTTAATCTGCACCATTTGTTATATATTATATTGTTATATTCTTCTAATAAATTCGAGTAGACAGCATATTACTTCATAATTGGAGGGTTAAAAAATGTCACTCATAAACTGAACACTGCAGTCATAAAACAAACTCACGACCTTTAGATCACTAGGCAAACAACTGGCCACTTTACTACAGAGACCCAGTTGTTCAGTACAGTTGGATTGGGCTTCTGGGAACTGCTTCTTTTAAATTTGCTTAAGAAATGTTACTCTTCTTTAAGTCACTGGGTGTAAATCTTTCAGGCTGCATCTGATAGGGAAGGGGGCAAAGCTTTAAAAGAAAACTTGTATCATTTTCTGCTGCAGTCACCCTCTTAACTATTTAAATATAATAAGCTTCATGCTTAAAACAGAAAACTGCCGTAAAGATAGAGTGAAATATAAATAAAAACTGTTTTTAATAGGAAAATGGCACTGAGAAAGTTAGAGAGTCACATGTTCCTGGGAGGATGAATAACTTTTTAAAAAATATTTGTTGTTACATCCACAGAATGGTTCAATTACATGCACGCAACAAGAATGTCCACCTGTCAGGTGCAGCAACCCAGTTACAATGCCAGGTCGCTGCTGTCCTGAGTGTAGTGGAATCTGTTTTGTAGAAGGCAAAGAATACAAGAGTGGAGAGTCTTTCACGCAACCTAGACATGACTGCCAGTCATGTGTTTGTGAGGTTAGCACTGTTTACCTGATTATACATGGATTATCTAAAACATGCGGCGTCCGTGGCTAAGGCGTTGCGAGTCCGACTCGTAAGCCAGCATACCGCGATCGAAACCCACTGCAGGACATTTGTCGTGGTATGGGACGTCGCAGGTCGACCCAGCCTAAAATGGGTACCAGGATGGGCTGTCCTGGGAAAGTAAAGACAGCCGGCGTAATGCTGACCACATTACCCACAGTGCTGATGGTCTGTAAAAATATGGGACGCTCTGCCCATATACCCGATGCGCCGAAAGGCGTGAAAAGGGATCTTTACTTTACTTTTACTTTTATCTAAAACAATACAGTGTTCAGATCACACTTCTGTTAACACATTTTATCGTGAGCCTTCAGCTGGAAATGTGTTTCCAGATGTAAGTAAAGGTCCCTTTTCCACGCCTTTAGGCGTATAGGACATATAAGGCTAGACCTATATTTTTATAGACCAATCAGCACAAGATGGGTGATGTGGTCAGCATCATGCTTTACCGCCTTTACTTCCTGAAACTGCACCCAGTACCCACTCAAGGCTGTTGACCTGGGAGTGAAGGTCATTTTTGAAAAAATCTGGCTCCACCAGATTTGAACCAACGACCTTCCAATCCGCAGGCAAGCGTCTAGCCGCTATGCCACAGCAACTCCCGTTTCCAGACGTACAGTCTGTATTTCTAAAAGAAAAACAAGCTCAGTATAAAATATTTCAAATTATTGAACATTTTTATATTGCCCTTTCATTTCTCTTTTAATTTTAATATGTTATATTAAACTTTAAATGTTGATATATTATATATTATAAAATTTAATTTATACACAGATGCTGATTTTTCAAGTTTGAATAATGATATCAGCTGTAGTATAAAATGTTTATGTAATGAATTAACTTTCACAATATTTAATTTGCTCTACTGCATCTGATCTTAAAATCTTTGTCCCCTTTTCCATCTTCATATAATGTTATACCCAGATATTTAACCCTATCACACCTGAGGCCCTGAACCTAACTGCCCCCTATACCTGGGCATTAACACCAAAAAACCAACATGATATACAAAAATATTAATTACATGCAAACAAGTGGTTAGAAAAAGATTAAACTTAAAGACAATGTAGAAAATAGGTTTACCTTTCATTGAGTGCCAATATTCAACCTTTGTGTGCCAATCCACTTAGCAGGATCAACCTTGATCACAAAGTGAGCACCAGATGTTGCTGTTTAAGGGACACGCCTCCTTTTCTTTCTATCGATCTTGTTTCAAATGTATATTTTTCCAGATTCTCCTCATCACTCAAGCTCTCACTGACTGTGTCACTTCAACTAGGAATTTATTCTTCGTAAAATTCTTACTCCTCAGAGTCTGAATCATCTAAATTATTAATCACCTGCTAGACTGTGAAAAACCTAGACCTACTTCACTTTCCTATCGAAATGCTTGGTTCATCAGCCGCTCGTTTCATTGTCAATTTTCATAATTTTTTTCACACTAAACCACACAAAGTAAATCCAAACACAAATAGGCAGTCATTCGCAATGATAACCATGAGGTTTGATCACGATTGGTTGGTTATTTTTCATTTGAGACGAATTTTATCACGTAGTACGCAAAGTACTGAAACTTAGGTACGGCGGTTTAGCGGCAGATTCGGAAATTACCGGGTAAACAGTACAGCGGTTTGGTAGAGTTAAACTCAGATGCCTGTTTAATACCTTTACTGCTATATTTAGTTTATGATTCTTTCTATTAGCATTACTTCTGTCTTTTCAGTCCTAGACTTCTACCAATGTGCATATTAAGATGACACCATATATTGCCTTTCTTCTTCTTACAGACCATGCCATGTGGTTTTGGTAATCATTTCTATTCCCAACCTTTTGTCTTGCATACATTAAATAATTATGAAAACAAATTTTTCTTTCAATACTTAAATGGTGCACCCATACACCCACCACACCCACACACACACCACACCCACACACACATAGACACACAGAGACACCCATACACACAGAGACAGACAGACTGACAAACACAGAGAAATGGACAGACACAGAGAAACAGACAGACACAGAGAGACAGACAGACACAGAGAGACAGCCACAGACAGACAGACATACAGTCACAGACAGACACACAGACAGACACATAGACAGACAGAGAGACTGACAGACACCTAGAAACAGAAAGACAAAACAGATGTTTCCACAAAACAAGACCAAAATCCAAGAGTGGACAAACAGCCAGGAATTTTTGCATTCATTTGCAGCTAGGGAGCATGAAGAAGAAGAAAAATTATAACAAATACTGTTTATCTTCATTATGTCCCGAGTGCTATGATGTCGATTTTTAATTCATCATTCAACTCAAGCAGAAACTGAGATGTCTGGTGAAACCACAGCTGGATCAGGCTTAGTGTGATTTCAGAGTAAACCAAAGTACTCAAGACCTTTTCTTCTTACTTAGACAGATGACTGAAAAGCTCCTTGAAAATGAGAGTGAGATGTACCTACGTTTCTTGGAACTTGAAAAGGCATTTGATAAGGTTCTCTGAAGAAAGCTCTGTAACTGCTTGGTAGTGATACACAATTCAGCACCCCTAATCAGTGCAACACAGTTTCTATAAAAGCTGCAAAAAATATGTAAGAACAGCAAACCAAAATCCAGATGGATTGAAGACTACTAGTAGTGTTAGACAGGGTGATGTTACATCATCTTACCTTTTCATTCTTCAAACAGATGATATCATCAAAATCTGTGTGGAGAAGACAAAGAAGTACTCAGTAAAGTACTGGAAGATGAGACCAATCTGTATATTAGGGATGGCGTTTGCTGATTATGTGACCCTGATTGCTAAATCAGAGATACCTCTTCAACCTAACTTGTCCAGAAGGAAGAACTGGGGAAGAAAGGGATGACAAATATTATCTCCAAAACTAAAACCATGGTGATCTCATGAGAAAAGAAGAAACATCAAATCATGATGTTACAATATGAATTGGAGCAGGTCCCTTCAAATACCTAGAAGCTTTAACTCTTTGAGTCCCAGGGGGTTTTGCACCAGGGGCCCAAGGGGGGTAATATGATTTTGACTTTTTACAAATGTAGCACTTTAAAACAAACCACACAACCGCAGCTGATGTCCAACATACACATATCATACATAAAATTAAACATAAATGGATAAGGATTAATATTAGCATACTGCTACAACAAACAATTATACTGTTAGTTAGTTTTTAGTAGAGAAAACAGTGACTTAGTTTGAGAGGTGAGTAAATTATGAACAAGTTTTTTCCACTTACCCAGAAGCTGATCCCAATATTCTTGATATAGTATATCCAAAATACATCACAAAGGAAGGTACACCACTTATAAGTATGCACAGCCAATATTAAAGCAAAATGTGCAATAGTTTTTGTTCCATAGCAATTTTAATAACACTACCATAACACATCAAAATATATTCTTCAGTGGCACAAACAGTGACTTTTCTAAAAACAATTGAATTCCTCACATAGAAAAAAACTGTAAAGGCACTGTAAACATGTCAATCTGTTCATAGATATATATCTATGGTTTTAGATGATATAGATAGAAGTACTAGAAGCGCTGACATTTGGACTAGCTGGTGTCGCCTTACGAGGTGCTTCTCTTGTGTTGCCAAGGCAGAATTAGTAAGTTTTGTCCTCTTAGCAAGAGGTAAATTACGCACACATCCTCATCAAAACTTGACTCGTCAACGGTTTGGGGAAATTTCACGTCGCTACTTTCATTATCCAACTCCACATTACTTTAACTGATCCACTGTTTTATCAAATTTGATGATTCTAAAGCAGTAAATCGCTTTGATAGGCGTGAAGACGATGACTGATCGGACATATTGTTTTCAGACAATTGTTTGGTAACGTAGTAGACCACACAAATATCGATTTAAAGCGTTAAAAACTCACCAGACCCAAACGAATGCACTCCACGTGTGTACACTACACACTTGAGAACCGGAAAGGAAGTTTAAATTGAGCGGTTCACGTGTAATTACCGATAAGTGGTAAATTAAAAACCGTCACACATCATGCGCTGTTTGGGCCGCCAAGTAGTAAAAAATGAGCGCGTGATGCGTTCCTTGGGACTCAAAGAGTTAATAGAATGGCCCGGAGGCCAACAGACTGGAGAAAAGGATGTCTTGAGAAACTGCCCAAAAAAAGGTGATCTAGAGGAGTGTATGAACTATAGAGGATTTACTGGAAAAATATTATGAAAGACTAGAAGATGCGATTGATAAAATGCCAAGAGATGAACAGGCAGGTTTTTGGCCCAACAGATCATGTATTGACCAGATAGCCACATTATGTACCATAACTGACCCACCCTTCAGTCTTCACACATCTTTTAATTTTGTTTTTATGTGTCAGGATATCTGGGTTTGACCCTGAGTAAGGTGTTAAGGAGTTTTTCTGTCAGGGGCAAAAATAAAAATGCTAACCTACCCAGTCCAAGGTAACAGCACCAGCCATGTGGCCCTAAATTCTCAGGCTGATGGCCCCCCTTCTCCTCTCCACCCCCTTCCCAATTACAAAGCACAAAAAAGTGGTCAATACAGTAGTGACAGGTTTTTTTTTTTTTTTTTACAGTTGACAGTTAGTAACAAATTAACTATACGAGTATGAATTATTTTAAAACAGCTGGAATCTGCAATTTTGATTTCAGTATTTTATCACATTTGTCAGAATAAAATGGCAAACTACGGGACGTAAACTTGCCTAGAAAAACTACAAAAGCCAAATAATGCTGGTGTTGGTTCTGCAACGCCCTGTAAAGGATATGCAACTGACTGTATTATAATAATAAGATTACAAGTTGTTAAATTTTCTTAAATTAAAAAAGAATTTTGTTTAAAATTTTGGACGTATGAAATGTTAATAACTCAGCTGGATACATTTCTTTGACCTCTTGGCAAAACCATGAATGAGCTGTTAATGGAAATGCAGTCTGCCAGTCTTGCTAGTGTGGATGACTAGGGAATACAAGTTGTTCTGTTTACTAGTAGTATGCAGTAGCCATTTTACATCACTTCAGGTTATTGCCAGGGCCTTACTAAATTATAGGCTAAATGACAGTACAAATCATGTTGATGCAGTTTGTAAAAATTATTCTATTGCAATGGTTTTTTAATTACAAAACTTGTTTTTCACATAATAATCAAATTTGGCTAGAGAACAAGATGCAAACACATGCCGTAATTGTAACTCTAAATTCATGCAGAGAAAGGTGAAGACAGGGGTGCTTCGAGCAGAGTAGCAAGCTTCACTGGGAAGGTCACGGGTAGTGAGCATACTTTGAATCTTTTCTCCAGGCGAAGCCAATGTCGTGGGTAATGAACAGGCAGACAGACTGGTTGGATCTGGACCACTGGGTGGTGAACTGATACATGACAAGACAGATGTGGTCAAGGCCCTTTGGGAACAAGCAACGGAATCAATGCAACTCAACTTAATCATATTGAAAATACAGTGTAAGGATAATTTCCATGCTTTCAGGTGTATTGGACATATAGTACGAGACCTATATTTTAAAGACTAACTGGCACTCAGTTGGTGATATGGTCAACGTCATGACAGATACTAATGCTTCCCAGGACCTCACCTGGTACCCATCTAAGGCTTGGTCAACCTGGGAACAAATGTAATTTGGGAAAGAAAAAAAATTGGATTTGAACCCACTGCTTTGGATTCACAAGCAAGCATCTAGCCACTGCATCAATGTGGCTCCAGAAATACAATTTATTAACAATAAAAAAAATTTTCATCCAGTATATTCTTGTACATCAAGCATGTGTTTTATCCTTTTTCACATCCAGTATGGTACTGTCACGTGTGTTCAGACAAAATGCAATGATCTTCCCTGCTCAAACCCTGTACCAGTCATCGGCCAGTGTTGTCCTGTCTGTCCCAAACAGTGTGTTTACAATGGACTGAACTATGATGATGGAGGAACATTTGTGAACCCCAAGAACAAATGTGAGGATTGCCTCTGCAGACAGGTAAAGGTTGTCTTGAAGATGTAATAGCTTATCACTTTACAGGGTTCTCATGAAACCTTAGAATATCTTTAATAAAAATCTTGATATATCTTTACATAATAACTTCACATAATAATCTTGATATATCTTTACATAATATCTTTACATAATAATCTTGATATAGCTTTACATGATATCTTCACATAATAATCTTGATAAATCTTTACATAATAATTTTGATATATCTTCACATAATAATTTTGATATATCTTTATATATTTTTCATAATAATTTTTATATATCTTCACATTATAATCTTGATTTATCTTTACATAATATCTTTTCTGTTGTGACTTTAACCCTTTCGCTGCTACGTTCCTGGAAATAGTTGTCCTCCCTGTGCTAAGCAATGTGAAAAAAAAAAGTCTCTGTTGTGCGCAATACTTTTCTATCCTCTAAACGCAAAAGATGCGTCCGCGGTGAGGGCTATGTTTTGTACACCTAAAAAAATTTACCCTGGGGAGTTGTGTGGTTGGTCCGAGTGGTGACAAGTCAGAGGCACGATGGTGCCCCACAAACTTGACTAACGGAGCTATCACCCTTCGGGGATGGGGGGGGGGGGAATTAATGGGAGGAACTGTTCCCAGTCTGTATCCCAAAATTTGATTGACGAACCTACCACGGCTGCCACTTTAATCATATTTACTTGTAGTCACTGTGTTATTACATACCAAAATAATTTTTTTAAAATATTCACAATAATACTCAAGTCGTCCGTTGCTGAAAAGTAGCAAGAACTCAAAGGAAAATTTACAATTAATAAAAAAAAAACTTCGGGGGTTGAACACACGACCAACGATTCTAAGGCGAACGTGATACCAATTACACTATGCTACCGCTTGACGCATTGCGCTGTGTAAATGATCATAATGAATGATGTGCGCAGACCATCAATTACGTGTCAAAGTTTGTAGTCTATCGCCGCCCGCATGAGCACTGTTGTCTAAGAAATGTTTGAGATTCTCAACAATAGTAAAAATATGTCCCTCGACATTATTTTACGGGAGTTTTTAGCAAACAGTCTTTGCTCAAGTACTCTATTTTGAGTTTCTTTGTTCTAAGCATTAGCAGACAGACAGAAAAAAAATTAGTTCGTCCGAATCTGTGTCTGTCCATCGGGAAAGACGAGAAATTTTAGTGACTTAACTGTTTGAATTTACAGTAGCAGAAATACAGATAGAGCTGGAGTCATCAAAATCATGCACTACTGGTTTCAAATCATCGGTTCATCAAGATAACTGATCAATTTATTGCCATTTTGATGGCGCTTCATTGTCGCTGCTCTCTGATTCCGACGATGAGGACGTCAGATAGGCAAACAGCTTTTTTTGGACACGCCGGTTTCAGCAGTCGATATTGATGGCCTAGTCAAATCTTCTTGTTCAAAGTCATCGTCGCTATCACTTTTGACAGAAACTCCATCAATTCTTCATCAACTTTAACAAGTTTTCTTGCCATTTTGTACTGAAAGGGAAGGTAAGAGACAAAATATTGCGGGACTGGAAGACCATCGCCCAGTAAGAATATGAAGAAGAATGGGATTATTATAAATCAACCATCACGAAGATATTAAAAGACAAGTGTGCCAAGTACCAGAAAGACGGGCAAAGGCAAGAAAAAGGGTACCGCTTGGTGGAATGAAGAAGTCAAAGAAGCAGTGTCAAATAAAAAGAAGATGTTTCAAATATGGTTAAAAACAAAAGACGAAAAGGATTACATTAGGTACAGACTAACTCGAAGAGACACCAAGAGAACAATAAAGAAATCAAAAGAGGACTCATGGAAAAAGTATGGTGAACACCTAACACAGCTATGTACAGAATCATCAAGAGACTTTTATAAGAGTGTGAAAGCGATGCGATTAAGAGAAGAAAGCTTCAATCCAACATCAGTCATAAATGATAAAAATGGAAAACCATTATTCAGCCAAAAAGAAATTAAAAAAAGATGGGAGGAATATTTTAAAGAACTTTTGAACCCGTCGGGAGTACATGAAACAGCAGAATTCCATTCAAGGGCTCCAGATCATCTAGAACCACATATCCTGCGGGATGAGGTAGAGAAAGTTATCAAAACAAGTAAAAGACACAAAGCAGCTGGTATCGACGGAATAACAACAGAAGTCATCCAGGCTGGAGGGGACACTATGATCACCTGGCTGGAGAGAATTTTCAATAGAGCATGGGCAGAGAGAAAGGTACCAGTGGATTGGCAAAGATCAGTTGTAGTACCTATCTGGAAGAAAAAAGGAAACAAGAGAGAATGTGGAACTTATAGAGGAATATCTTTACTAAGTCATGTGGGGAAAATGTATGCAAAGATCTTAGAAGGTAGGATAAGAGCAAAGGTTGAACCTCTACTGAGTAAAGCACAATTCGGTTTCAGGAAAGGGCGAGGTTGCACTGATGCCATATTTGCACTAAGACAAGTCTGTGAAAAGACACTCGAATACGATAAAGAGCTGAACGTGGTCTTTGTAGATCAAGAGAAGGCATTCGACCGTGTGGACAGAGATGTGCTGTGGAGAATTCTTGACGATTACGGAGTGCAGGGTCAATTATTAGACAACATCAGAGCCCTCTATGAAAAAAGTGAAAGTGCAGTAAGAACATCTAGTGGTCTTTCTGAATGGTTCAAAGTCACAACTGGTGTCAGACAAGGATGTGTACTGTCACCATTACTTTTCATAACATACATGGATAAGATCACTGTAGAAGCAAACCCAGACGTGTATGCTATAAACGAATTACTTTTTGCTGATGATCAAAGCATACTGTATCAAAATGAATATGATCTACAGGAACATCTGACTACTCTCAACAACAGCTGTTTACAACATAATATGAAAATCAGTACAGAAAAAACAGAAGTTATGAAGATCAGCAGAACACACAGGCCACTGAATATAAATGTTGGAAGTGCCAAAATCAAGCAAACCAAAGAGTTCAAATACTTGGGCAGTATATTTACAGAGGATGGAAGAATGGACAGAGAGATAGAAACAAGAATACAGAAAGCAAATGCTGTCACATACCAACTATCACCTCTGCTTAAACATCCAGATATAACCATGAAGACCAAAAGACAATTGATAAACACCATCTTCATTCCAACACTCTGCTACCAGTGCCAGACATGGACAATCAACAAGACCCATGAAAGAAAAATAGAAGCCTGTGAAATGAAATGTCTAAGAAAAGCAGCGAATAAGACCAGACTAGACAGGATAAAGAACATAGACATTAGAAACACTGTCAAAACTACACCATGTTTAGACTACATAGAACATCAAAGAATGAAATGGTTTGGACATCTAACCAGGATGAAAAATGACCAAATAACATCACAAATTTTCAACCAAAGAAGCTCAGGATATAAGGCAAGAGGAAGACCAAGGAAACTGTGGATTGACGGGGTCTCCGAAACCTGCCAAAAGCATGGCCTCAGAACATCAGATGCTGCCCGCCTTGCTTATGACAGGAACTTGCATCTCCCCACAACGCTTAGCGGCATACGTGGAAGGAAAAAGTAAAAGTAAAAGTAAGTAGAATAATATAAAAGCACAAATATATATCAGGCACAAAATACACAGATCACCGACCACGCTGTCACGGTAAACAAAGCAACGGGATAACGCAAAATGCAGTAAACACACCTTAAACACACCTAAAAGTACGTGAAAGAACTATTACAATCAGGAATTTTAATTTTATCTTATACTATGGAGGAAACATCACATAGGGGACACTGTTGTAGTGCCAATGAAATTGCATTATTGTACAATGTATTTTTAGGGGACCGTACAGTGTAAACAGAGAATGTGCCCTCCTGTTAATTGTGCAAATCCAGTCCAGGAAAACTGTTGTCCTGTCTGCAGTGGTGGTAAGTTGCATATGGTTTTCCTATCTTGTTTTGCTGAGCTGAAATCTAAAATGTGTCACTATCATTTTCATCATCATCATCATCATCATCATCATCATCCTGTAACACTGTGTGTCGTTGGGTCACCAGTTGCTGTTGACTGTCTGATCAACTCCCTCCACCTTTGACAGTCAGTTGTAGTTGACTTCATAGTTGCATGCCCATGTCCTGTCCAGTTCATCAAGTTCTATATCCAGTTCTTTCTTGGTCTGCCTTTTTTCCTCCTGCCCTCTCCTGAGCCCTGTAGTATTGTTTTTGAGAGGCGGTTAGATATTATTATATGTGTGTTATTATTCAACTTTGGTCTGTGTGATTGTTTTTTTTTTTTTGTGTATTGAACTATTGATTGGTTGATTCCTAAGAATCAACAACATACAGACCGTCTTGTGCAGAAATGTTTAGGTGTAGAAGCTAAATATTTCTGTAGCACACTCGTTGTAAACATCTCATTCTCGTCCTTTTCATTCAACCCTCTTTATCAGACCAATTCCTCCACTTTTGTGAACCCTTGCATCCTTGCATGATAGAACTAAACATTCTCAGGAGCACGCAGGTTTCAAAGGTCAGATTATGGTGTATTGAAGAGAACATTTCTTACCCATATTGTGCTGTTTTATTATTATTTTAAGAAATACCATAATTAATTTCATCATAGTGTTATTAGTGTTTATTATTTCATGACAAAAATCATAATTAATTTCGTCACAATAAAAACAAAAACAATACAGACAAGAGAGTCTACTGGTTTTCATAAAAGTACACCCAAGTGCAGCTTCAGATTCAATCACTGATTCATATTTCCACAGGATGCACTTTTGGAATTTTGCTTTTAACAGAAGGAGAAGAGGTTCCTGATCCGAATAATTCCTGTGAAATCTGTAAATGTAGGAGAGCATCAGTGCAGTGTGATAGGATTCCTTGTCCTCCAGTTACTTGTGCTAATCCAGCTCAAGTCAACTGCTGCCCAGTGTGTCAGGATTGTGAGTACAGAGGCAGACGCTATGACAATGGGGTAGATATCATTGCTGATGTTAACAGGTATGCTATTGCTTTTTAAACTGAAGAAATCAGATTTTGTGAAATGCAAATGACAGTCAGTTTCATTTTAAAAATGAATTTGTTTTGATTAGTGTTTTGATGATAAATATTTAATGTGATAATTTTAAGTGATAAATGCAAGAGTTAGTGAGAAATTTCCTGTACTGGCTTCGAAAGAATGTTAAATGTTGAATTACAAATCGACAACATAGCACTCGGGACACCCCCATAAGTACTCCATCCCCATCTTCAGCAGCAAATGAAAAGTTCCAATTCCAATGGCACCAGTAACTGTCTGTAAATCTGTCTCAACCTTCCCTTTGAGTGTTGAGCATTGGCCAGATCCCTTGGTAACTCCTGGCAGCGCCATTCTCCTCAGACCGTAATGATCTATTTGCGCTTCTGCACTGTTCACTTGCTCCTAGAGGGCACTCACAACGTCTAGCTTGTCATACATCAGTTAACCACCAAGTGGTGCAGAACCGGCCAGTCTATTGGCTTTGAAAGCAGCTGTAGTAAAGCCAGTGGATATGAATTTGGGTCAAATGTTCATAAAATTAAATATATCTCTTGAATAATTACACAAAAATGGGTGTGGTTAAAAAAAATTAAAAAAAATAAAAAAATAAAAATTGGCTCTGAGTAGCAGACTGGTCAAATCATTTACCTCATACTCTCAGACCGCTAGGTCACCTCCAACTTTCCTGTCCTGGGAACTTTTATGCCTAGGATATTATAAAAATCCTGTGTCCACTGGTCAAAACCTCCTGCCTTTTCTACCAGCAACCATACTATCCATTACTGCTCTGTCCAAACCAGTATGTCATTTAATGTAGCCGAAGTATTTCAGTTTACAATACTATGACCGCAACTTGGTGTGACTTTCTTCAGTATAGCAAAAGACATTGTTCCGTACATCAGATACATAATAATATTGAACACAAAATATTAACTTCCAAGGACTACCCTTAATGAATATGTGATCTACTGCAATAAACTTATGAAAACATGCTGTGCGTAGATGACTCTAAAGAACTTCAAGGAGGGATTAAACATTACATCACACAGAACAAGGGCTAGCATATGAAATGTTAATATATCTTAAGACAGAATAATGGTATCCCAGGTCACCTTAAATATCTGGCAAGACAGACTACACAATATAATTACTACAATTCTTTGAAAAGTACACATATAATAAATTGGGCTTGACAGTCTAAACTCCTACACTCCTGTACATTTAATGCATAAGCTTTGCAATATTATTATTCTTCTTCTTTACATCCTCTTTTACCACTTCAGGTGTCGAGAGAGATATAAGGTCCTGCTTCATGCTCTTCTGACTGCTTCGACCATAGACACATCGTGGTGCTGTAGAGTTTCTCTGATGTTATCTTCCCATCTTGTTCTTGGTCTACCTCTTGCTCTATGTCCCTCTCCTCTTTTGGTATATGCCTTGTATGGTATGGCATAAGAAGACATTCTATTCAGATGGGCAAACCATTCGATTTACTGTTTTTGTGTGTAATTTAAAATTGGCTCTGTTCCAAATTTGTCTTGCATGATCTCATTCCTGATTTTGTCTCTTCTGGTCACTCCTACAGTCTTTGCCTTATTAAATAATCAAACTCTTCTTCTTCTTAGCATTTACTGTCTGTAATCAAAAGTTCTGGTTGTTTGTCCACTCCTGGACTTTGATCTTGATCCAGAACTTGAGTTTGTATGTATATCCATTTTACAGGTTTGGCTTATTTGTATACAGACTGTTGTATCTTGTCTTTCAGGTAGATGCGCTCCGACATTAAAGAAAATACTTCTAATTATTCACCTCTTAAAACATGCTTGTTAGGGAGGAAGGAAGGGTCAGTGGGTCTATTCTTTGTTCTCCAAAATGGAGCCCTGGAATTCACACTTGGAACTAACCAAACATATTAATTACTGAAATCGAAAAAAAACTCTACGTATCAGAGTTATAACCAAGGTTGGGTTGAATAGGATACTGTTCATTAAAGTATTATTACTATTTACAAGAAATTACAGTGTTTGTGAAATCATCTTAGTGATCAGACTTTGAAGAATTCTATGCTGATTTCTACACACGTATCTGATTCTCAGATGTCAAACTTGCAAATGTCAAAATGGCACAGTCCATTGTTGGGTCAACGTTACATGTCCCGCTGTGGCTTGCAGTCATCCATCCAGAGGTCGTTGCTGTGAGGAATGTGAAGACTGTTCCTATCACGGGGTTAGGTACAAGAATGGTGATAGGTTTCCACACCTAGACAGGGAATCATGTCAGGACTGCATCTGTACAAAAGGTTTGCATTTATTTTCATAAATGTTACTGACCAAGGACTTTATATCTACTTCAAATTATGTAATATGTATATATATATATATATATATATTGAACATGGATTCCAGCAAGGGTAGAAAATGCTGATGCTATGAATGATACAATATTTTTCAAGGAGAGGAGATGTCAGTGTTATTATAACATTTAGTGTTAAATTATTATTTTTATGCCATGAATTTTGAATAGATTTTGTTTATGTTGATTCAAGGTAACGTGATGTGCTCTAAGAAAGAGTGTCCTGCCCCCACCTGTACGCATCCTGCTCAAGGCTCATGCTGTCTGGAATGTCACAACTGTCTCTTCTCTGGACAGACAGTTAAAGAAGGGGATACCATTCGCAGTCCAACTGATCCTTGTGAAGACTGTCAGTGCAGACAGGTTTGTTATCATAGTTATTAAAAGTATTTAAATTCTGGTGTGAGGTGTTTATGACATGAATATCATTTAATAAACTATTTAAGGACAAATACTTCTTGACAATCTTCTTCAATTTGTTGAACAGACCTTTTTGAGTAACCAAATCAAATGCTCTGTTGAGATCAATGAAAGCAATAAACAGTGGTTGATTTTGTTCACGGCAATTTTCCTGCAACTGTTGTAATGAAAATATCATAACAGTGCAGGACCGGTTCCCAGGAAAGCCACACTGTGATTCTGGGTAAACCTGGTCTCCTAGGATCTGGAGTCTTTGCGCAATAATTCTCCTAAGTACTTTTTCAACAGTACACATCAATAATATTTCACTGTAGTTATTGCAGTCACTCTTATTCTTGTATATAGTTATGATGCTTGAGTCTTTGAAGTCTTGCGGAACCTGTCCCTCACACCAGCAGAGTGTTATTAGCTGATGAATCTGTGGGGTAAGTATGTCTTCCTGCTCCTGAAATTCTCAACAGGAATTCCATCTCTGCATGAGGTCTTCCCCAAAACCAGTTCAACAATAACATTTCTAACTTCTACATTTTATGGAAATGTCCAGATAGTCAAGAGTTGGTAGTGTCTTCATGCCATTAAGAACACCATCTTTTAGAGTATTTAAGTATCTACGCACATGGATAACATCCAAAGAAAGATGTTTCACAGAGATAAAGAATAGAAGAGGCTAAAATTGCATATTATAACATGAAAAACATTTTATGCAAAAAATCCAAGTCTCTGGATGTTACAAAACAATTCTTGTATGCAAAATATAGCCATTTTAACATATAGCTATGAATTCTGGACAGTTAATAAGCAAGTTGAATAATTTCTTGAGGCCTCTGAGAAATGGTTTTACAGAAGAATCCTTAAATTTCTTTGGATACCAAAAACTGAGAACCCCAGATGGTTTGAAAGAGGCAATTTGTGGCATGCAGTTTTAGTCTGGGTTAATCTAGAAGCTCAGGTCAAAGAAAAATCCCAACTTGAAGAGGATTCAAACATATGCCCACCAGACTAACAGGATAACAGGCTACAATAGTACTCTGGCAACTTCCCTAGAGGCTGCAACAGCATGTTACAGTGTCAAGTAATCAGTTAATTGTACTTCCAATTTCATAGCAAGTGGATCACCCCATAGTTGCTCCATTCTTGTGCCAGCAAAAACCACACAGAATTACTTCATTGTCCCTTGTGTAAACATTGGCACAGGCTGCAGTCTCAGCAAAGCCAATAGCACATTTGTAGAGTATTTTTTTAACACTATTATAGTTTATTTTGTGCATGCATTGTGCATTTGTGTTTTCTCATGAGTTTAATGTATTATGCAATAAATGGCTCTCATTTAATGTCAGTAAGAGGGTGCTAAAATGTTACATAGAACCTGTTCTGCTGTATGGCAGCGAATCTTTGAATATCAGTGAACAAATTAGGAAGAATTTGGAAGCAGTAGAGATGTGGTTTCTGAGATAAATGTTACGAATACCTTGGACGGCCAGAGTAACTAACAACAATTACTTGAAAAAAACTAAAGAAAATAGATTTCTAAATACAACAATATGAAAGAGACAAACAACACTGTTCTTTGGCCACATTATGAGAAGAGAGACATTGGAGAACATTGTGAAAACTGGAAAGATAAGTGGAAAAGACTAGAGGCAGACCAAGAGAGATGATGCTGGATGGGCTGAAACGATGGCATGGAGGGATATCAGCAAGAGAGCTGTTCAGGCAACCAAGGATTGTGATTTGTGGAGATGCATGAGCGCCTATGCCAGTTGGCAGGGCACATGATGATGATGATTGTGCATTTGAACACATATACAGTCTGTGAAAATCTTTCACTTTTTTCATATTTTTAAATTTTTAATTTTCAGGGAAATATCATGTGTTCCAAACAGTGTCCGCAGCAACAGAGTTCATGCCACCACCCAGTCACGCGAGGCTGTTGTCCAGAGTGTACAGGATGTATGTACAAAGGCAAAGAATATAGGAACGCAGAAAGGTTTAATGATCCTGACTCAAAATGCATCGTTTGTGGGTATGTTATTGAGTTCTTTTTCCTTGTCACTTTGTTCTTTTTAGTTGTGACATCATCATCATCATCATCATCAAGTACCTTGCCAACTGGCAAGGGCATTCGTGCTTCTGTTCTTCTTATTTTCTTTCTCCCTGCAAGTCATTTTCAGAACAGAGGCTTCTGGGAAGGTTGTGGTGTGATGCATGTCCTAAACTGATCAATTCAGCTTGGTTTCCACTGGAATATTAACTGACCAGAACTGGGATCTCTTTAATGCATTCATAGAGTCTGAATGAAGCACCTGTTCAGTATGCTGGTGGTGCCTGTCCACATGCACACAAAGTCCGGAGCCCCCAGTCTTGAATGTCCTTACATGGCTGTGGAATATATTTTGTCCATTTAACAGGTTAACTACATATCTCTGTAGCTTTTGTGTGAGGAAGTCTTCAAGATTGTTTTCTGGATGGGATCTGTTCCAATAACATGATTCTCTTCTTGCAATCTCTAGTGGCATAGCATTAATTTTTTTTTTAATTGCTGACACCCTTTCTTTCAATGACGAAAGGCTGTAAAGAATATTCTCCCACCATCCTCCAAATTTTATCCCCAGGAATTCTTAGAGCTGTTACTATGTGTTCCACTTGTTCTCTTATTTGGGAAAACATGTTGACTGTCTCTTTTTTGTCATAATCTCTTTTAAAACATCTAGATTTTTATTTTTATTTTGGCTATCTAAGAAATTGTAAGCATTCAAATAATGCTTTTGACTATAAGACATTTAAGCCAACTGTACACGTGTAATGTAATTGTAACTGACTGACAAAGCATGTTGAGAAAGGTGAAGACAGGCATGCTGCATGCAGAGTGGCAAGCACACTTCAGAGGTCCAGGATAGTTAATATCGTTTGAATGTTTTCTCTAGGTCATGCCGGTATGTTGGGAAATAACAGGCAGACATACCTGCTGGTTTACACCACTTGGTGGGGAACTGATGCATAGCAAGCTGGATGTTGTAAATGTCCTTTTGAAGCCAGTGACCAGTGTGGAGGCATAAACAGATCATCAGTCTGAGGGGAATGGTGCTTCAAGAAGTGACCAGAAGATCTGATATACAATCTGATTGTTACTGGTGCTATTGAAATCTGAGCTCTGCACTTTTGCTGAATATGGGGAAGGAGCACTTCTGGGAATCTCACAAGTGCTTTGATGTTTTTTCTTAATTCTTCAATATTGAATATTTTTTAGAGAAATTATATTTTTTTAAAGGTTTGTTGCATCTCTTCAGGACATCATAAATTTAATGTCAGCACATATTGACAGTTTGTGGTTTTAACTGGCAATTTGACACTTAGTAGTTGTTATTTCATTCTGAACAATACAAATTATGTTTGGATGTTATTCATTACATTGTCTCTGTAATTTCCTGTAATCTCATGGAATTCAATTAATTAATTGATTAACTCATTTGCCCTGAGATGTGTCAAATCAGTTCAAACCATGTGTTATTATTCTTCATGAAAATATTAAACCAGCAATGCTGCATTGGTCAGTCCCTTAAAAGCCCAAATAATGGTATTGGTTCTGTATTTGTACATTTATATAACTAAATGAGGAAGTTCCTGAGCTCATGCCCCCTCCCCCCTCCCCCACCCTCCAGCCAGATATATCTTGTTTGAAAGGTTAAGGACCATATATCTATTGTAGATGGTTGTAGTTAGAAATAAATATTATTCAATTTCATTATCACAGATTTACACTGCTGTCAAGAGTGATCTGCTACCAAAAGACCTACTGTTGACTTTGATTCCTTATGAGTCAAGATTATGAGACTGTGTTCACAATCCACATATGTTGTTATTATATAAACTAAACAAAGTTATACAGTATTGGAACTTTTTGGTAATTTTTAGGCACATTCATTTCTTCATAACACATTGGACTTACACAGATGTTCCTACAACCAAACAAAAACAGAGTTATTTAGGAAATGAGAAAAGAACTGGTCATACCTTAACATTAAGCAGTGACCAAGTAACTGAGGAATACTCATTATGTTCCTTGATAAATAATGTGGTACATGTCTTTAGACAAATCTCAGCTGCTGGTATTTTAGATAAATTCTTTTCTTGAATGCTGCCATCATTTCCTTTAATTGGCTGCTGTCTTCCATACCTTCTCTACATAGTAGTCACTATGTTTCCCAATAACTCTTTTATCAATTAGAAGACCAAAAACACTGTCTCGTCATGTTTCCCAAAACCTCTCCTCTCATTTTAAGACTAAAAAAACAATAGTCTCATCATGTTCCGCAATGTATATTGTATTTTTATAAGACTAAAAACACTGCCTCACCATGTTCCTCGATCTCTTTTATCAATTATAAGACCAAAAACACCATCTCACCATGTTCACCAATATCTTTGTTATCATTATAAGACTAAAAACACCATCTCACCATGTTCACCAATATCTTTCTTATCATTATAAGACCAAAAACACCACCTCACCATGTTCACCAATATCTTTCTTATCATTATAAGACCAAAAACACCATCTCACCATGTTCACCAATATCTCTCTTGTCATTATAAGACTAAAAACATTGTCTCACCATGTTCACCAATATCTTTCTTATCATTATAAGACCAAAAACACCATCTCACCATGTTCCCCAATATCTCTCATATAATTATAGGACAAAAACATTGTCTCACCATGTTCCCCAATATCTCTCATATAATTATAAGACAAAAGCATTGTCTCACCATGTTCCCCAATATCTCTCATATAATTATAAGACAAAAGCATTGTCTCACCATGTTCCCCAATATCTCTCATATAATTATAAGACAAAAGCATTGTCTCACCATGTTCCCCAATTTCTCTCATATAATTATAAGACAAAAGCATTGTCTCACCATGTTCCCCAATATCTCTCATATAATTAGAAGACAAAAGCATTGTCTCACCATGTTCCCCAATATCTCTCATATAATTATAAGACAAACGCATTGTCTCACCATGTTCCCCAATATCTCTCATATAATTATAAGACAAAAACATTGTCTCACCATGTTCCCCAATATCTCTCATATAATTATAAGACAAAAGCATTGTCTCACCATGTTCCCCAATATCTCTCATATAATTATAAGACAAAAACATTGTCTCACCATGTTCCCCAATATCTCTCATATAATTATAAGACAAAAGTATTGTCTCACCATGTTCCCCAATATCTCTCATATAATTATAAGACAAAAGCATTGTCTCACCATGTTCCCCAATATCTCTCATATAATTATAAGACAAAAGCATTGTCTCACCATGTTCCCCAATATCTCTCATATAATTATAAGACAAAAGCATTGTCTCACCATGTTCCCCAATATCTCTCATATAATTATAAGACAAAAACATTGTCTCACCATGTTCCCCAATATCTCTCATATAATTATAAGACAAAAGCATTGTCTCACCATGTTCCCCAATATCTCTCATATAATTAGAAGACAAAAACATTGTCTCACCATGTTCCCCAATATCTCTCATATAATTATAAGACAAAAGCATTGTCTCACCATGTTCCCCAATATCTCTCATATAATTATAAGACAAAAGCATTGTCTCACCGAGTTCCCCAATATCTCTCATATAATTATAAGACAAAAGCATTGTCTCACCATGTTCCCCAATATCTCTCATATAATTATAAGACAAAAGCATTGTCTCACCATGTTCCCCAATATCTCTCATATAATTATAAGACAAAAGCATTGTCTCATCATGTTCCCCAATATCTCTCATATAATTATAAGACAAAAGCATTGTCTCACCATGTTCCCCAATATCTCTCATATAATTATAAGACAAAAGCATTGTCTCACCATGTTCCCCAATATCTCTCATATAATTATAAGACAAAAGCATTGTCTCACTATGTTCCCCAATATCTCTCATATAATTGTAAGACAAAAACATTGTCTCACCATGTTCCCCAATATCTCTCATATAATTATAAGACAAAAGCATTGTCTCACCATGTTCCCCAATATATCTTATATAATTATAAGACAAAAGCATTGTCTCACCATGTTCCTCAATATCTCTCATAAAATTATAAGACAAAAGCATTGTCTCACCATGTTCCCCAATATCTCTCATATAATTATAAGACAAAAACATTGTCTCACCATGTTCCCCAATATCTCTCATATAATTATAAGACAAAAGCATTGTCTCACCATGTTCCCCAATATCTCTCATATAATTATAAGACAAAAACATTGTCTCACCATGTTCCCCAATATCTCTCATATAATTATAAGACAAAAGCATTGTCTCACCATGTTCCCCAATATCTCTCATACAATTATAAGACAAAAGCATTGTCTCACCATGTTCCCCAATATCTCTCATATAATTATAGGACAAAAACATTGTCTCACCATGTTCCCCAATATATCTCTTATCATTAGAAGACCAAAAACATGGTCTCTTTAGCTTTCATTAGCTCTTATTATTTAATACTTGTTAAAATTCCTAAACAAGATCTTTTCCTATATTTTATCCTTTCTACTTTTTATTATATTGGGATGTTATTCATTACATTGTCTCTAATTTCCTGTAATCTCATGGAAATTAATTAATTGATTAACTCATTTGCCCTGAGATGTGTCAAATCAGTTCAAACGATTAACCGGGACCTTCCGCTGGAATTCACAGCCGGTGAACGAAAAAGAAGAAGAAGTTCAAACCATGTGTTATTATTTCTCATGAAAATATTTAACCAGCAATGCTGCATTGGTCAGTCCCTTAAAAGCCCAATTAATATAATTGGTTCTGTATTTGTACATTCATATAAATAAATGTGGAAGTTCCTGGGCTCATGCCCCCCCCCCCCCCCCCCCACCCCCAGCCAGATATTTCTTGCTTGAAAGGTTAAGGATCATATACCTCTTGTAGATGGTTGTAGTTAGAAATAAATATTATTCAATGTCATTATGTCATTATCACAGGTGTACAAATGGCGATGTCTTCTGCCAGCAGCGTACATGTCCAGTAGTCAACTGTCCTAACCCTGTACAAGGTGAATGCTGCATGGAATGTGATGGCTGTTTCTTTGAAGGAAAAGTACAGAATAATGGCCAGCGCTTCCCCCATCCGTCTAAACAGTGTCAAGATTGTGAATGCAGAAATGGAGAAGTTCGATGTGGATCCATAAATTGTCGAATTACAAGAACCTGTTCTCATCCTGTTTCTGTCCCTGGTGAATGTTGTCCTGTTTGTGGACAAGACTGCCTCAACGAAGGCCAGGTTGTGAAGAATGGTGATCGATTTAACGTGAATTGTCAGGTAAATAATGCAGTATAGTTAGGAAGAATTCAATTGCAATTTTTCATAGCAAACAGGTGTTTTGTCACTGACAACTTGCTAAGTTTGTTGGTGTCACTCATCTATTGCATTCTCTCTCTCTCTTTTTGTCTCTGTCTGTCTGTCTGTCTGTCTGTCTGTCTGTCTGTCTGTCTGTCTGTCTGTCTGTCTGTCTGTCTGTCTGTCTGTCTGTCTGTCTGTCTGTCTGTCTGTCTGTCTGTCTGTCTGTCTGTCTGTCTGTCTGTCTGTCTGTCTGTCTGTCTGTCTGTCTGTCTGTCTGTCTGTCTGTCTGTCTGTCTGTCTGTGTCTGTCTGTCTGTCTGTCTGTCTGTCTGTCTGTCTGTCTGTCTGTCTATCTGTCTGTCTGTCTGTCTGTCTGTCTGTCTGTCTCTGTCTGTCTGTCTCTGTCTGTCTGTCTGTCTGTCTCTGTCTGTCTGTCTCTGTCTTTCTGTCTGTCTGTCTGTCTGTCTGTCTGTCTGTCTGTCTGTCTCTCTCTGTCTCTCTCTCTCTCTCTCTCTCTCTCTCTCTCTCTCTCTCTCTCTCTCTCTCTCTCTCTCTCTCTCTCTCTCTCTCTATTAAACAGTAATATTAATATAGATTACACAAAATCAAGGTGTAATAAATAGAAACCAAAGAACTCTTAATTTTTGTTGTGTTCACCGGCTGTAAACTGCGGTGGAAAGTTCTCATTGTTTAACCACCTTTTGACTTTAGACTTATTCCAGAACCTGAGTATTACATGCACATCTGTATTACAAGTATCTTATTTGAATGCAGACTGTTAGTTCCTTGCCTCTCAGGCAGATGCATTCTGAGGAAACCTCCACTTAGTCGACTCCTATGACAGGCTTCTTGGAGAGGGAGTGGGTCTATTCTTGTTTTCTCCAGACTGGGGCCCTGGAAGCAACATGGGGAAGAATTGTTAATGAAATGGAAACATACTGAAATTGTTTGCAAGGGTCATTTAGTTTAAGTTACTAATCGTTTTGTAGCTATACAGTCTGGCTTAAAAGTGAAAGTGAAGCACCCTTTCCATGCCTGTGGTGTATGCTACACTTATAGACTGGTCAGTATTTGATGGGTGATGTAGTCAAGATCCTGTAGATCATGACATTTCCCTATACATTTTAGCCTCAGTCAACCTGAAAGGACAAGTTCTGGAAAGTAAAGGCGGCTGATGTGATACTGACCACATCACCCACCAAGTGCTAATTAGTCTATAAAATATGTGTCTAGCCCTATGTGCCCCATATGCCTGAAGACGTGAAAAAGGGTCCTTTATTTTATTTACTTTACAGCCTGGAAGCCAGGGTCAGTTACAAAATCCTCTCATTGCAGATTCAAACCAAAAACCTTCAGAATGCCAGTTTGTGATTTACCATGGTAAATCACATCTCCCTTTGATCGGTGTAATGAAATGTTAACCTTTTGTTTTATCCTTGTAGTGAATCAAAAATTGTTTTTATATATTTAATCACATTTAAAGTGCCTATCAATTTATTCTGAATAAGGATATGTGAATAATAATGGTCGACGCCTGTGGCTTAGGCGTTGCGAACGCACTTTGACATGCCAGGGTGCCAGATTCGATCTCAGCTGCAGGCCTTGCACCTTGAGTTGGTTTCAACAATGGTATCAAGAGCTGACAGTCCAGAAAGCAATGGACAACTACTGGACTTAAATTTGCCTAGAAAAACCACAAAAGCCAAAAAATGCTGGGGTTGGTTCTGCAACATCCTGTAAAGGATACACAACTAACTAACATAATAATAAAGTTACTTGTTTATTTATAACTTTATGCAGTAGCTGAACAATATTTTTTTTTTTTTGAGGTTCAAAAAGTTTGTGGGTGCCAAACATATTTTTTTAGACATGTTGTGGAGAAAACATCCCCTTTTTTTCCTAGGGAAAAAGGCCCCGGTTTTGTTTGTCAGAAATGCAGCTGAGTACGGTAATAAATTAGTGTTTTGTGAAATTTCTTAGGAAAGCTGTGAAAATTAAAGAAAGTGTTCATTCAGTCACAATAATTACAGAATTCTTCTGTTTATATGTGGATTAATTACAGAAATCGCCTAGCCATAAGCCACAACACAACGGGCCTACGGTCCCTTTAACCCTTTTGCCTCATAAAAATCTTCAGTAAATTATCTTTTTCGAAAAATTTTACAAAGAAATACCTCATTAGAATTCCTTTGAAAACTATATCCTAAGAAACTAGAGGAAGAGAAGAAGAAGAAGAAGCAGGAAAAATGTTAATTTTTTTTTTAAGTTTTCATCAAAATCCAAGAGGTTGAAACCTATGACCACTGAGCAAACAGGCAAGCCTGCTAGCTTCTGTGTCATTTTCAACCCTCCCTGTCTCCCACGAACCTCTTCCCAAGGTCACTAAAAAGATGGATTTTTAACATTTAGAGTAATTATTTTGCGCAAAGTTTTTTTTTTTTTTCAAATGAAGTCAACAACGAAAACAAATTGCATTCTTTGCCTTGGATCAAGAAAAAAAGAGGTTTTTTGAAACAGCTATGGAAAGCAAAGTGACATCAATATAATTTTAATAGGACATAACAATGGAAAAATTTATTATTTTTACCCAAATAATATCTCCAAAACAAATTTGTGGGTAAATATAAGGTAAAGAAAAGGTGAAAGTCAAGTCAAGTGGACTGACTTCATTGCACCAGATTTTATCCCATATGGCTCAGTCTCTCTCTGCAGAATGGCTAGCCACCTACCGAGAGTGTCGCACAGTGCAAAACTTCCGTAGCTCCAGCGACTATCCTAAGAAATCTCCGTAAAGCTGCACTTATGAATTGAATGACACAGACATGAATGGAACCCATGACCTTCAAAGCGTGAGGTAAACGACTTGACCACTTCACCACAGAGACCCCAATAAATATAATCATACCCACTAGGTCTACACAGTTTGCAGTTACAACCAGTATCAAAACTGTTATATAGGCATATTGGCTGCTGCTTTAAAAAGAACATGTAAAAGCCAAACTCTGGCTTTTCTCAAGACGACAAGGTTAAGGGCTAATGCAGACAAAGAAGAATTTTTAAAAAAAAATTAATATTAGTAATCTGATCTCAGATATCTTGTTTTAATGTGTGTGTTTTTGGGGGGGTGGGGGGGGGGGGGGGGTTATAGTTGGTATGCATAGAGCTTATGTGTATATATGACATTTTATATACTGGATATTTATTTGTTTAGTATGTTAAGCTGTTTAATACTAAATATAATATGTCTTGTTATAACAGACTATAGTGTTAAGAATTTTCTTTTTATATTGTATTCAAACATTTTAACTATTTATTTTTCTGATTTAATCAAAATATCCAAATTTTTATTATAGGATTGCCTATGCTTAGGTGGAAATATTCGCTGCACACCTCAAAAGTGTCCAACTCTGAGTTGCACCAATCCAGCATTGGTAGGATGTTGCCAGACATGTATTGAATGCTCCATCAGTGGTGTTAGGTACCAGAATGGACAGCAGTTTTCCAATAGTAGAGATCAGTGTTCCACTTGTATATGTGATGTGAGTACTGTTTTGTGTCTTCTTACTTCACATTTGATCACATTTAGATTAGTAATTGTTACTCAACATTTTATTATCAATTTGATCATGTGTTTTAGAAAAGTTTTAATCAACCCATCTGAATTTATTAAAAGATAAACAGTTTATTATAAAACCATCAAATAAAAGCTATAAACGAAAAGTGCAGAATATAGATTTGCTTTAGATCAGCCTATCAAAAACAGTTAATGACAATACAGTAGACAAAAATGACACTAGAATAATTAATTCCCTAATGTAGATGCTAAATTTTGTAACTGTATGCTTTTCAATCTGGCCTAAACTCTATGCATTTACAAATATACTTAACATGATGTTAAAGCTTGTCTTTATGTGCTAGCTTACATAATGCTATTGGTGAGATGTATTTTTTTTTTAATATTCTATATATGTGTTAGCCTGAAAGCAGAAACTATAAAGTTTCTGAAATATCACCATATAACCTGCTTCAATGCTACCGCTTTGTTTTTAATAGCTTGTGTAAGAGTTTGGCACTCACATAGGTGATGTTTCAGTCACTACATGGCACTGGGTCAATGCGTGTTTCCTTCAATGCTAGACAACATCCACCTGACAGGCAAGCAGCCTACAGTCTGCATTCAAATAAGTCAGATCTGTGAAACCGATGTGCATGCAAAACTCAAGTTTTGGATTAAGACCAAAGTCCAAGAGTGGACAAACAACCAGACCTTGCTGACTGACTTTACAGCCGGTGGGTGTTAAGAAGAATAAATTCCAACAAGACCTCCAGGAACCTCCAAAACACCTGCACTCATCAACTGAAGGATCGAGTTAAAAAAAAAAAAAAAGCATCCTCTCCTGAAAGCTGAGGTATTATGAACATGTCAAGTGCCATGAGGCAGAGGCTGAGCTCAATGAATGTGGATACAGGGAATCATATTTTTATATTTTTCTCAACTTTATAACAGCACTTTGCATTATTTCTCAGCACAATTCACCTTTGGTGTCACTAAGACAGAAGAACGCCTACAGTTTGAACTTCTAAAAGGTAGATGGATTCTACACTTAGAGTAGAATATCTTGAAGTGGGGATACCTGGTTTATTTCCATACTTTCCTGAAAAGTTTAAAAAAACTTTACAAAGTTTGTCACAAACATGATGGACATAGCAAACATAATCATTAAAAAGATGTATCAACCTCTGGAAAAAACACTAAAAATAGTCATAAATAAATGTTCATTTTGAACTGTAGTAATTTGAATCAATGTATTTGTTGCTGTTGCATACAAGTCTATGTTGCTATTTTAAATTTAGTATTTTTCCTTTTGCTCAACTACTTCATTACTTTGCATTCATGAATGTGACTAGCCGCTAAACCATTTCTATGAACACTGTACTTTCTTAACTTTAACCAATAAAAATAGGAATTTTTTTATTGACTTCAAATAGTTGTTGTGTGCGGCCCTCGTGATGCACGAATGTGACCCATGCGGCCCTGGGGAACTTTCTGTTTGACATGCTTGCTGTAAAGGACATGATGAATGACTTCTTCCTCTTCTTCTTCTTCTCTTCTACCTTGTACCTCATTAAACTGTCAGGGGGAGATGTAACATTTGTTGATGAGCTCTGTCAAGAGCACTATTAAGACTGATGTTCATTTCTGTAAGGCTGTTCTAAATGCCATCACTCCATATTTTCTGTGGTCTTCCACTAGCTCTATACCCATTGTAACATTTTAGTTTGGCTCGATGTGGCAGAAAGTACCAGGGCATTCTTATTAGTTGTCCAAACCACTTCATTTGGTGTTCTTTGATGGCCTGTAAGACTGGCTTTATTCCTAGCATTCGTCTGATTTTGTGATTTCGTATTATGTCTTTCCTTGAAACTTCTGCAGCTCTTCTAAGGCATTTCATCTCTGTTGTCACAATTTTACGTTCATTGGAGGGTGTAAGTGTCCACGTTTGGCATTGATAGCATAGTGCTGGCCAAAAAATAGTTCTGATAAATGACTGGTTGATTGAATTAGGAGTTTGCTGCAATTAGATGTATTTGGCCAAAAGAAACCACAACATTTTGGTTTCCCCTTTTAAGGGAAACTTTGTAGATCATTTGATGCAGAAGTCTCATTCACTATCACTGCCATTCTTGTTTACATTTTACATTTGATTTTACTATGACAGAATGGCAATGTAAGCTGTTCTAGGTCACAGTGTCAACCAGCAACTTGCCTCAATCCAGTAACTAATCAGTGTGGATGCCCCATCTGTGCTGAATGTAGTTATCAAGGTCAGCAAATAACCAATGGACAAAGTTTTCCAAACCTAAGTGATCCATGCCAGGAATGTTTATGTAAGGTATGTTCATTTGTAAGGTAAACATTTTGTTGTTTGTTCCACTGAGCAATAATCTACTTTGTCATTTTTCATTTAATTTTGCATTAATTTTCCTGTTGTGCCACCTAGGGCTGACAGTCTATCCCTCAATTCCTTTCTCTCCTGTGCAATCACTTCAATATTATGTGCGGGATCCAGCTCAGCACCCTTATCCTCTCTCATCAATGTTCGATCTAGGGTTTCTTTTGGACATCCTCGCCTCCCCAATCCTTCTGTTTCTGATTTCAGTGTCTGATAATTCTCTGCTGATTTCTTCTCATCATGTGTGTCCAGTATAGCACAATCTTTTATGTCTACTAACTGTTGATACTAGTGGTTGCCCAGACATTTCTCTTATTTCTTCACCCTTTTTTAATGCATGCCATATAATTTTTATCACTTTCCTCAGGCAATATTTTTATAAATGCACATAACTTGTATTCCATCGCAATTGGAACTTTTTGCTCTAGGAGCAAGTGAACAAGATAATCTATTTCTAGCAAAGGATAGAAGAAGAAGAAGTATTAAAGAATGGGAAATAGTATTTTGGAGAGAATAAATGATTTATCGGATTTAAATATCCTAACATTAGGCATGGGAATAAATTTTTAATTTAAGTATTTACATACTGAGACGATTTTGAATATACCAAAAGATGTCACAACATCTAGAAGTCAGAAAAAAATGTAGTGTTACATTTAATTATTCCTCAGAAGCACCATCTATGTATTTGAATAAGATGTGGTACTGATCAAAGCTCTGTACAGTTATGGTTCATATTTTATGTGAAATGTATATATTATATCAGCAGATATTTTTCTGAGGAAAATATAAGTTTAAAATAAAGTTTATGGGAGAAAAATAAGGAAAGCAGTTCTTAAGAAAAGTTCTTTAGGACAAGTTATGAGAAGAGGCAGAATGGCTAAGAAACTAGGCTCTCATGAGGGAGAAATATAAAAACATCCCAATTTTGACCCTCATGAACCATCGGACAAGTAGCACAACATGAAAATAATCATGCAGGTGAGCCGTGACAACATGAGAAAAGAGGAATACATGACACCCCCATAACATATGACAGGTCGTGCGACCCCCCTCACCACGTGGGTGAGCTCACAATAAGTACCCCTAATCTATGCACATTCCTCAGTGACTGCACTTGTCATACAGCCCTAAATCCTCATGCTCAAAGACATCCCACCACCCTTTATCTTCCCATCCCTGTGCACACTCCAAAAATATTAATGGTTAAGCACCAGCAAGAAGTTCAGGGGCCGACCAACACGAAGATGGACACAGGATATAAGTGACTCCTTGAGTATGAAAGTACATGAGGTAGGAGAGCTGACGAGAGACCGAGTTTCTTTCAGGCAGATCGTGATGAGAGCGACATTCTGTAAAGGATCTGCTACATAATGATGATAACATTTGAAAAAAAGAGGTAAACTTGAAAACTTGGTGATAAGTGGCAGGTCTGGGAAAATACTGGGGGATTAAAATACCTGGATATTGTGACTAAACAACATAACAGAATACAGCATACAAACTTGATCCATGACCCTGGCTGTGATGTTAATTATTTGATCAGTAAATCAGTAAAATACAATACTATATTAAGCAAAGGGTAGATTACCTGTTACATGATGGTGGTGACTGTGGTGGTAACTGTTGCTGTTATTTTTATGTACATTAATACAAACCTATTTATTGGGTCTTTAAGCATCATTAAAAGTTTATTATTCTCTGTTTTACAGAATGGAACAGTGACATGTGAAAGAAAAGCATGTGAAGTCAGCTGCTCCCATCCAGCAGCAACCATGGGATGCTGTCCACATTGTACTGACTGCATATATGAGAATCAGATCAGGGTTAATGGACAGCATTTTGTTTCACACAGGGACCCTTGCCAGAAATGTCAGTGTCAGGTGAGATGTGTTTCTTTATTTCAGCATACATAAGAACAGAATCCATTTTGTCGTTAGAACAGAGTAAAAGCATTGCTGAGTCTCAGTTTGTACAAAAGTTACCACCATTCCCTGTACATATAGTCAGAAAGTATTTGAATGTTGTCTCAGTTCAGAGAGTACATGTCCCTTTGACTTTCTAAGTACAAGGTGAAGGTGCCATTGGAGATGTCAGTTAATAAATTTATGTGATTAGAATTCATTAACTGATTTTTTTCAAAACATCAGTTCAACAGTACTAGTGACCTTTGGATAAACCAGATTTCCTGCCTGAGTGTGCTCTGACCAAAGACAAAAAAATTAGGTAAAAGAATATATTGAGCTAGGGAGGGAATTCAGCAGGTAGAGTGATTCACACATCATGCATTGTTTGGGACTCAGAGTTAAAAGACAACAAAAATGGTGAGATATTTGGTGCAGTAATGTACATAAATATTTGGTGCAGTAGTGTACATGGATAGATGGTGCAGTAGTGTACAGGGATATATGGTGCAGTAGTGTACAGAAATAGATAGTGCAATAGTGTAAATGGCTAGATGGTGCAGTAGTGTAAAAGGATAGATAGTGCAGTAGTGTACAGGGATACAGGGTGCAGTAGTGTACAGGGATAAATGGTGCAGTAGTTTACAGAGATATATGGTGCAGTAGTGTACAGGGATAGATGGTGCAGTAGTGTACAGGGATACAGGGTGCAGTAGTGTACAGGGATAGATGGTGAAGTAGTGTACAGGGATAGATGGTGCAGTAGTGTACAGGGATAGATGGTGCAGTAGTGTACAGGGATAGATGGTGCAGTAGTGTACAGGGATACAGGGTGCAGTAGTGTACAGGGATAGATGGTGCAGTAGTGAACAGAGATTTATGGTGAAGTAGTGTACAGAGATATATGGTGCAGTAGTGTACAGGGATAGATGGTGCAGTAGTGTACAGGGATAGATGGTGCAGTAGTGTACAGGGATACAGGGTGCAGTAGTGTACAGGGATAGATGGTGCAGTAGTGAACAGAGATTTATGGTGAAGTAGTGTACAGAGATATATGGTGCAGTAGTGTACAGGGATAGATGGTGCAGTAGTGTACAGGGATAGATGGTGCAGTAGTGTACAGGGATAGATGGTGCAGTAGTGTACAGGGATAGATGGTGCAGTAGTGTACAGGGATACAGGGTGCAGTAGTGTACAGGGATAGATGGTGCAGTAGTGTACAGGGATAGATGGTGCAGTAGTGAACAGGGATAGATGGTGCAGTAGTGTACAGGGATAGATGGTGCAGTAGTGTACAGGGATACAGGGTGCAGTAGTGTACAGGGATAGATGGTGCAGTAGTGAACAGAGATTTATGGTGAAGTAGTGTACAGAGATATATGGTGCAGTAGTGTACAGTGATAGATGGTGCAGTAGTGAACAGAGATTTATGGTGAAGTAGTGTACAGAGATATATGGTGCAGTAGTGTACAGGGATAGATGGTGAAGTAGTGTACAGGGATATATGGTGCAGTAGTGTACAGGGATAGATGGTGCAGTAGTGTACAGGGATATATGGTGCAGTAATGTACAGGGATAGATGGTGCAGCAGTGTCATGGAAAAACAAAATAATTCATTATTTACAATTCAGGTAGGATGATGGAGGCAGACAGTCACTGCAGCTCTTAATTGAAGTAAAAGTCAAGGATCCTTTTGTTAACCCCATTGGTAAATCAGGCATCTGATGCTAGACATATTTTCATAGACCAATCAGCACTCAGTGGAGGATGTAGTCAACATCACACTGACCGGCTTGACTTCCAGAACTTTATCTGGTCTCCATTTTAGGAAGAGTTGACCTATGGGCAATGGTCATTTTTTGAAAAAAACAATATGACTCAGTGCAACTTTGAACCTATGATCTTCAGGAGAGAAGCAAGCTTCTAGTCACTACACCACCCTAGGTCTCAGCTCTGAAGTGGATTGCTGAAAACAAAAGTTACAGAGGTATCATAGTATCTGATTCTCTATTGCTATTGCAACAAATTCAAAATGATAAAAGATAAACTGTCATTTGAATGAATACCAAGCAACACCACATCTAAATTACAGGAATTTATATGGATATACTACTGTCTGAGAAGATATGCAGGAGTGCAAGGAAATGCTGATTTGCTTAACCAAAAGAGATAGCTATAGCTGTGTGAACACTCACACTGAGACGAGGGAGACATTCTGAAGACCATTTATGAATGAACCCTGATGAAAGATGTGAAATTAGATGAATCAACATGTGTAAAGTTTTATGAATTTGGAATTCAGTGTGGGTGCAACAAGAAAGGGTCTATCAGAGGAAGAATGTGAAGTGTGTATAATCAATAGCAAACATTTAGCATCTACACATTAATACACTTGCTGCAGGAGATAATGTTTTTCATCCATCATGAGTGATGAAGACCACCTTCATCCAAAGTAGTAACGAACAATGATTATGAGTACAAAGGTGGCTGATGATAGCTGGATGAAAGTGACTTGTGCAAGAACTTGGATTTAAGGGAGGAAGAGTTGGGCAATTCATCAACCTCACTCTCTTGCCTGTGTCCAACTTGATTGAATGGCAGGACAATGTTGAGATGATTGGAAATGGACCTAGGTGGAGTGGATGACCAAGGCGTCTTAAGTGCCTTGCCTCGCTCAAAGCTCTCCACAGGGCCTGCTGGTGATCACCTTCTTGTCCATTGAACTAATAAGAGGTTTCATCTGCACAATCCGCCGAGTCCAGTCTTTGCATGCAGGGTAGGCATATCCCAATCACCGAGTAGGTTAGAACCAGGCCGGCTACCCTCTCCAGTTATATCTTGAATGAAGAATGTAAATCAAATAATATGAGAATCAGCATCAAAAAGACAGAAGTAATGTCAATAGGAGGAAGGAAGCAGGATTTAAACATTGCATTAGTGCATAATATATCAAACAAGCATCTGAGTTTAAAATATCGTGGAACAACATTCACTGAAGATGGTAAATTGGATGAAGAAATTGACATCCAATGCAGAAAAGCGGCCAAGTATTGGGACAGCTAGCCCCTCCCCCTCTTACACTATAAGGCAATCCCACTCAGCACAAAGAAACATCTCATATAAAACATATTCATTCTTACCCTATCAGTGCCAGATGTGGTTACTCGCAATCAAACATAAAATAAAATTATTAACTATGGAAATGAGGTGTCTGAGAAAGACTATAGGAGTGACGAGAAGAGATAAAAGTCACCAATGAGGTCATACGAGATAAAATCAGAACCAATTCTAAATTACACACAAAGTCAGCAAATAAAATTATTTGCCCACTTGGACAGAATGCCTTATGAGGCTATACCATACATGGCATACGGGACGCAGAGCGAGAGGTGGATAAAGAACAAGATGGGAAGATAACATCAGAGAAACTCTACAGCACCACCATGTGTCTATGGTCGAAGCAGCCAGCAGAGCACAAAGCAGGACCTTGTATATTCCTCAACACCTGAAGGGGTAAAAGAGGACGTAAAGAAGAAGAAGAAGAAGAAGCTCAATCTTTCAGGTCTATTTGTGTTTTTTGTTAATTTTCTGAAAAAATTGTGTCTGTTTTTCTTTAACAATACCTTGCAGACAATCCTTGCAGACAATCATGATATCATGCACCCTATTTTCTCCATAAGGTAGTGCTGCTAGTTTGTGTTTTTTTTTAAAGTATAATATTTATGACCATCTTTTTATAAACTAAGCTATTATATCTTTAAACTTTGTAAATAATGATAATTCTCATGATACTCAGAGTTAACATATATTAAACTGAAAATTGTCTTACCTTCTTCCTCAGCAAGGGTCTATCATTTGTCACACTATGGAATGTGAAGCACTCTCCTGCCTCAACCCCATGAAAATGGAAGGTGAATGCTGTCCTTCTTGTCCAGGTATGTAGAACTTGTTTCAGTAACATTACATTATAAAAAAACACATGATGTGATTGTCTTTGACTCACAGAGCATGTTGAGAAAGGTGGAGACAGGTATGCTCCGTGCAGAGTGGCAAGCATCACTTCAGAGGTCCCGGGTAGTTAGTATCCTATGGATTTTATCTCCAGGGTATGCCAGTGTGTTGAGAAATGAACAAGCAGATAGACTAGCCGGTTGTGCACCACTTGGTGGTGAATTGATGTATGACAAGCTAGAAATTGTGAGTGCAAATGAACAGTGCAGAAAGTGCAAATAGATCATTACGGTCTGAGGAGAATGGCACTGCTGGGTTTTACCAGGGGATCAGGCCGACACAACAACACTCAAGGGAAGGTCGAGATAGATATACAATCAGACAGTTACTGGTGCCATCGGAATAGGAACTCTTCGTTTGCTGCAGAAGATGGGGATGAAGCACTTATGGGAGTGTCCGGAGTCCTATGATGTTGATTATTAATTCAACATTCTACATAAAAAGCACTGGTCATTGTAATGTTACTTTATAAGAATATTAAGTGTGTAATAAAGTTTTGTTTATAAGTATTAAAATGTCATGTTGGATTTGAAAGAATAGTAGTTAAGGGCAGTGGTAAAAGAGGGGCTGACCAGTACGCAGATGGGCGCTGGACATTAGAGACACCATGGGCAGATATTTGCATGAGTTGGGAGAACTGTTTGGGAACAGAGTTTCTAGCAAGCTGTGATGGGAGTGACATTATGTGAAGGATCTGCTATACGATGTTGAATGTTGAATTAAGAATCAACATCACGACTTGGGACACTCCTATAAGTGTTATGTCCCCATCTTCAGCAGCAAGCCAAGAGTTCTAATTCCAATGGCACCGGTAAAAGTCTGATTGTATATCTGTCTCATCCTTCCCCTGAGCATCAGCCAGATCCCCTGGTAACTCCTCACAGAGCCATTCTATTAATCCCATAATGGTCTATCTGTGCCTCCCCACTGTTCACTCATTCCGAAAGGGCTGCTACATGATAATGATGATTTTACATTCACCTAGTTAAAGTAAAACTGTTTTACAAGTGTAAATGCTTTTATTAAAGACAGTGATATTTAAAATGTATCTAATGTTCCTATAATTGTAACTTCAAATATTTGCTTTTGTTTGCAATGAAGGTGAATGTATCATATTTTTTTACAAGTTGATTAATTATAGCCCATACTGGGTATATGGTGTTGATCGGCTATTTGTGTTCAGATGGACTAATCAGTACATAATAAATCTATTGGTCAATATCATGCAGCTACCTTTACTTCCCATAATATTTTATAGTAATCATCTTAATCTGGGTCAACCTGTCTATTTTTTTTATTTTTTCTAAAATCAGTTTGATAGCAGACATGGGTGCTAGTCACTGTACTTCAGGGGTTCCCAAAAACAGTCAAAACACTTGATGATGATGATGTCAGCAGAAGCAGATAACATTCACACACAAAATGCACTGTTTTCAACAATTCACTTTTCTTTGAAGTCGGAGTGCATCTGCCCGAGAGGCAAAGAAACAATAGTCTCCATGCAAATAAGCCAGATCTGTCAAATGGATGTACATGCAAAACTCAAGTTCTGGAACAAGACTAAAGTCTAGAAGCAGATCAATAACCAGAACTTTCCACCAGAGTTTACTGCCAGTGAATGCAAAGAAAAAGAAGAAACAGTTCAATACACTAGACATATACATAAATCAAAATATGCATATACTAGCAGTTTTCTAGTATGGAGCAGCAACCATCACTTGCACTTTACTTTATTTTTTTTTTTTTTTGTTTTTGTTCTATCATTGTCACTCCACAGTGTGTGTATTCCTGGGACAAGTTTTTCAAGAGAGGGAAAATTTCAGGCACCCACGTGATCAGTGTCAAATATGCTCATGCAAAGTCAGTAACATTTTCATAATTTAAAAAAAAAATATATATATATTATAATTCCCTGTTGAAGTAAAATGTCTTTAATATAATCAATCCATTTTCACCTCGGGCACTCTCCTGTTCTTAACATCAATCATTTTGGGTAAATCACTTGTGTTAGTAGCAGTTGTGGCTGCATTCTGACGAGATAACCAAATTTTGATTTATTGCTTCTCACTGAATTTTCTGCAAGGTACTGTTTTTACATGCTGTTAATATCAATTCTTGCTTTATCTTGGATGTTAAAGTCAAAGCCCTCCTCAGATATCACATTTCTCAGTAATCTTCTGCTTCTAAATGAATGTGGTGCAAAGTAATGTTCCCACAGTCTCTCTGATAGTATCAGTTCTTACCTGGTTTTGGATGGTTAAGTTGATAGCTTTCCTCATCTCACATCTGTTAGTTTTCTCGTACATGAATCTTTAATGAGATACAAGTTTGAATTAATTTAGTAAAGGTATATTAAATCCTGTTTCAGACACTTGTTGATTTGACCCACACTATTCTAGCTGTTTCTGAAATTCTATTCTTTACAGTTATTTCCTAAACTCTTTTGGAATCACATGTATTTGAACTATCTATCTATCTATCTTCTTTTACCCCACCAGGACATCACACAAGCGATTAACACCCGATGACACAAAGTGCCACCATGTGGATGAGGATCACCCGTGGAGAAGTCTTAGAAACCGTGTTCAGCCATTAGACCATATTTATGGCCGGGCTATATAGACAAGAGCCAGATTAGGGCTTCAAAAAACAAAAAAACTGCATCCCACAAAGGGATGACTAGATTAATGCTGAACACTAATTTAAGACAGAAGGCATTTAGACTTGGAATGCTTACCATAAAAGAGTAATGTCAGTGTGTTGAGAAATGAGCAGGCAGATAGACTGGCTGGTTCTGCACCACTTAATGGTGAACTGATCATGACAAGCTAGATGTTGTGAGGTCCCTTTGTGAGCGAGTGAACAGTGAGGAGGCACAAATGGATCATTACAGTCGGAGAAGAATGGCATTTCTGAAAATTACCATGGGATCTGACCGACGCTCGACACTTAAGGGAAGGGCGAGATGGATATACAATCAGACAGTTACTAGTACCATCGGAATTGGAACTTTTTACTTGCTTCTGAAGATGGGGATGTAGCACTTATGGGAATGTCCATTTTGCTGTGATGTTGATTTTTAATTCAACATTCAACAACAACATTCTCTCTCTCTCTCTCTATCCATCTGTCTATATGTACACACACACACACACACATACACACAGACATATGCATGCATACATTTATACCTGTGCATAGATGTCTTGTTTATTTGTGAGAATGGTAAACTAAATCCAGAATTATACAACATCCCACATATTTATGTTACCAGATGGGACGTGTTGAATGCCAGAGAGAACCGTGTGATGGCAAATGCACTCAACCACAGAGTGAACTTTGCTGTCCCAACTGTGGCAAGTGTTCATATGAGGATAATTTTTATGAGGATGGAACCAGCTTTCAGCCAGATGCATGCAACTCTTGCCATTGCAGGGTAAGAGTGTTGTCTTATTTAGCTCTCCCTAAATTAGTTTCAGTCTTAGTTTCTTATTTTTATCTAAATAACTAACAACATTCGTCTAGCACAAAAAAATGTTTATAATCCATCACAATGAAAGACCATTTTCAGAAATGAAATTCACTAATATTGAAGGGAAAAATGTGTGTATTTAAATACACGTTGTGTATCTGCACAGTAAAAATAATACTAAATTTGCTGAATAAATGTTGCTGAATAAATTCTAAGTCATCTATTAACATGTTGAAAGTTTCAGATGAGACATTATTTAATTTCATGCAGCAATTGCGATATTTGTAGTCAGCATCTGTGGCTTGGCCATCAGGAACACACTTCTTAATTCTGAGACACCTGGCTCGATTTCAACTGCAGGTTATATGGCAGCAAACCAGATTTGTTGATTTTGACAATGGTGTTGAAAGCTAGCAGTTCAGAGGCAGAGGTAATCTACTGAACTTAAAATTTGCCTCATAAATCACATATATACCAACAAATGCAGTGGTTGGTTCTGCAACATCCTGTACTAACTATGCCAGTTTTAATCATATTTTTTTCTGGAAGTTGACAAGCATGTTTTATTATTCCAATAATTTTTATTCTTGATACAGTGAATGTTCCTTTTCACAATATAAGTTTATTTTTATGGAGAATAGCTGGCTGAAGAGTTAAGAATGCTTTGCACTCTTACAAGAGACTCAGGTTCAAATCGTTGGTAAGGTTGTGGAATGTTTTTCTGTCAAGAGCAAAAATAAAAATAAAAACCTGCACAGCCGATGGCAGCAGCACTAACCTTAGGGCTCTAAATCATCAGGCTAAAGATCTCCCTGCCTATACTGAAACAGTGGTAAATATAGGCAGTAATGCCAGTTTTTTTGGCAATAGACTTTTATAAACAAATTGGTATTCACTTATTGATATGGTAGTAATCATACCAGCTGCTTTTACTTCCTTCTACCCATTTCGGCTGATATATTTATTGTAAGACATACTAAAGTTTGTGGGAAATATTTATGCTGTGTTATGCAAATCACAGCATAGATAAGATATTTATGTTGCTCTTATGACAAATGACAAGATGCTACAGGCAATTTATTTATTTTTTATAAACTTGTTGAAGTAAGTTTGCTGATGGTGGACTAAAAAATAAATCCAGAATTTGAAAAGCTTAAAAAAAAAGCAGTTGTGATTTTGTTTATTACCAACATTCACAGAATATTGCGACTTATGACTCTGCTTGGTGTAATCAGATCTTTAACTAGCACAGTTGCATTTTAGCAGTTACAAATGAATGAATGAATCAAGAATTTACATCATTGCACTAAGGCTTCTCACACATGCTCTGTTCCCTTCCTCAGTATCCAAAGGAGTGTTCCTATAATGATGGTGCCAGTAACAGTATTTGTTACGAGTTAACTTCTTTGTCCTCAGTGTAAAGGTTCATACTGGTTTACTAAGCCATCCATAAACTAGAATTCAAACATTGCAGCATCAGTATCTTCAGCAATAATGGATAAATAACAGTTTAAAGTAAATTAATCCACTGTGATTAAGAAGTTTAATGAAGGGGAGAAGGAAAACAAAACAACAAACACAAACACACAAGCGTGCTCGTATGAAAAACTCACCAACAACATACAGAACAAAGTGGAGATGTGGAAATGTTGTGAATATCATGCTTGCTACCAACCTGGTGACTAAAGGATTAAATCCTCACTGAAGCAGTCCTTTAAAATTTCCGTAGGCTTCCAGAACAGCCTAACATTAAAATATGTGTCAGGAAATGCACTGAGTAGTAAAGGCCAAACTAAGTAAAGTGCATGATACCGACAACCTCACTCATCCACTTCAAATTTGTTTATAGAAATAAAGCCAGCGTGATGCTGACCAGATCATCCATTTTGTGCTGTTGGTCTATAAAATATAGGTTTAGCCTTATATACCCAATACACCTGAAAGGCAAGGAAAAGGGTCCTTTACTTTACTTTATAGAAATAAGGAAATAGTACTCTACACAGAATATTCTAAGGCATTAAAAACAAGTGTTCCTTTACCTAATTCTACTTGCAAAAGTATAAGTTATGTAAAAAGCATTCAACATTGCATTTAAAAATTCCCAGTAATAATTTGTTTTTAATAGAATGGAAGTGTTCAGTGTGAAGAAACGACCTGTTCATTGCTAGCATGTGCTGATAAAATACGTGTTGAAGGACAGTGCTGTGAAGTGTGTAAAGGTAAGATTCAATAACCATTTGATCATTTCATTGTCATTGTCTCTGATTTAACTCATTCTCCCAGTGTGGGTTCTGGGTCCCCATTATGGTGAAAACAAGAATAGACCCACTGCTTCCCCAACACACATATCATAGGAATCAACTAGTTTGGGGCTTTCTTCGAAGTCAGAGTTCATCTGGTGGCAAGGAACAACCAACTGCACACAAATAAGCCAGTAAAACAGATGCACATGCAAAACTCAGGCCCTGGCAAAAGCTTAATTTCAAATGGATCAACAGCCAGGACTTTCTGACAGAGCTTAAAGCAGTGAGCAAGGAAGAGGAAGAAGATTTAACTCTTTCAATACATGCAAAGGTTTCTTAACTCCTTTCTATTTTGGGTTCATTTTGCATAAAATAATAATGATCTAGACCTAAAAGGGTTTAAAGCTGTGGGCTGTGAATGCTTAAAAAAAAAAGTCAAAAGCCCATGGGAATTTTTGGAAAAAACCTTTGATAAACACAATTTTTTTGCAAAAGTAACTAAAACTGTTTTATGGTTATTTAGCCAACCTTTTTTTTTCTTGGAAAAAACCATTGAAAAACAAAATTTTTTTACAAGAGTAACTAAAACTGTTTTATGGTTATTAGGCAAACTTATTTTTTTTAGTTTTGAAGTACATAGAAAAAATTTAAAAAGAGTAATCAGTAAACATGAACAGAGTAAAGAATTAAATGGAATTATTTCCCTTTGGCCTAAAACAAATATATTTTTGATAATTGGTGCTGTGACCTCCTCACCTCCGTCACTGAGGCTTACAGAAAAATTATAAGTCAACCAGGCTTTAAAACAGCTATTAGATTTACATGGAAACTCCTCTAAATACTATATTTAGTTAATATATTCACATCTAGGCCTTGTAAACACTATGCAGGCATGCGTAGAACTGGTGGCATTTAACTATGATTTTTTAAAACAGATCGCTGCAGAAATAATAAAATATTTGCATTTTTGAGGATATGTCATTATAGGAAGTGTCTAGACTGATGATGATGATGATGATGATGACAGAAGAGGCAGATAAGTAGGATAAAAACTCACATACACTGTTTCAAACAATTCACTTTCCTTTGAAAGTGACAATAGGGTAAAATAATAGTATTATAGAACAAAAGAAATTGAAATAAAAAATAGGTTAACTGGAAAACTGCAAACTGCAAAATGTTGATATAAACTTACCATGTAAGGAAGACCTAATAAAAACAGATGAGTTGCATGGTGCTGAATGAGTTAAAAACTTTAAGTGTTCTAGCTTTCATTGAATATTCTTTCTTTTAGAAGAGTTTAGTTCCTTACCACTTTAGTATTTTTATTTTGTAGTTTACAGTTTATTTTTCAAAAAAGCTTAATAGAATCAAAAAGTTATGGATTAATTACTCTTGTTTAAATTATGTCTCCATAAAGGACAGGGAAATTTACCTTTTAAACTTGCATTCAGTTGTTATATTAGCTTTTATACATTAACACTTTTTTTCCACATTGGCCTTATAGGGCTAGACCTAAGTTTTAGAGACCAATCAGTACTCTGTGGGTAATATGGTCAGCACACCCGCCAGCTGCCTTTACTTCCAATGACTGTACTTGATGTCTATTTAAGGCAGGGTAGACCTGCTATCTAATGTCATTTCTTTTTTTCAAATCGTCCAGCTCCATCAGGATCTGAACCTAAGACCTTCCAATCTTCAGGGAACTTCTAAGTGATACATGGCTGCAGCTTTCATTTGCAAAGTGCACATTGTTTGAATTCATTTTTCTGTTGGCCCAGTGAGTCAACACCATATATGTGTGTGTGTAAACACACACACACACACACACACACAATCAATAATAAAAAGGTCAGTGTTATAAAAAAGAACCTTTCTGACAGTGTCAATCATGAAAGCGATTACATGAACAAGAAGAAGATGAAGTCTTTCAGTAGCTCACTGTCTATCCTGAAGTGGTGGTGATTATCACATCCAGTTTTCAACCAAAAGAAGAGGGGATGACGTAGGCCAAGAAAGACTACAAAAACAATATTGGTGCCTGGACATGCCTCAAACAGATGATTTTGCTTCATATACGCAAGGGTAACAGTAGTTATAATGGATATGAAGAAAGTGTGAGAATATTATAGTCACAGATGCAGCAAAACAGTTGCTGTGTTGCCTGTTCAAATAATGAGCCAGATTTCCGTAACATGTGGGGTCAAATATGAAATCACATCATAAATTACTTGGATCACATTAATAACAGTTAATCACATATGCTGCATTACTTTGGACTAGAAGAGTTAAAAATACATAAGTAGAATTAAACACTGGTATAAGCAAAAGGGAAGGAAATTGTGAAACAGATCATCTACATTCGAATAAACTAGCAACAGTATTAAAAAAAAAAAACTATTGTGGGTACTTATATTCTTTTACATTGTCAAGCAGCCCTATATAGAAAGTGCAGATAAACATTTTAATTGATTAGTTAACAGGCAGACAAGGAGCCTAACAAATATTCTACAGTGTATCAAGGGTACTTGTGATAATTGTTCCCATCTTGCTTTGTTTATGTAATACCTGCACCTATCACAATGCTTTTTTGTTTTCAACGGTTACCATGTTTGATTCTAGTAATTTTTTATTCAAGCAATTCTTGATTTTAGCAAATTTTAAATAGTTATGTTTGTTTTATTCATTGTGACTATTTTGCTATTCATTGCATTACTTGTGATATGTTTGGATTAGGATGTACTTTTCATGGAATATTGTATCGAGAGAATGCATCATGGATGATGCCAGACAATCCCTGTGTGTCATGCACATGTAATGGAGGACTCATTACTTGTATGCAGACAGACTGTTTTGTGCCATGTTCAAATCCAGTTACCTTGCCAGGACAGTGCTGTTCTGTCTGTCCAAGTAAGTTGTTTATATTTTATACAATGGCAAGTATAATATTATTAAGATCAATTTAAAGTATCAAATCAGCAATCACAATATTTTATCCCTAATTCACTTATGTCTTATTATCTGCTGTGACAGCATATTTTTTACTGGCTTTGTTCTTCTTTCATTTTATAATTAACCTTTTGAACAGGATATAGAGTGAGGCTTGATGACACTAAAATCTATAAGTGAAGAGATATTTCAATATTCACAAAAAAAATTAATTGAAATCGGTGAAGTCAGACAAAAATATGTAGTCTTTCTTTGTCAGCTTAGATGAGAAAGACAGTTCTCAAGATTTAATATAAATCCTACCATGATATAAGGAAGTGAATCATGGACAATAGGTCAATCAGTAAAAAATTATTTGAAAGTTGTATAGATTTTTTAAGCAAATTATGAGAACTCCCTGGGCAGAAAAAAGAGTAATGAAGATGTCTTGAAGGAAACTGACTCATGAATAGAATTGATTGCCAAGATCACAAGGAGACAATCCACATTCTCTGATCAGTCAGAGAAGGAGAAAACGAGTTCAGTGTGACAGTGGGAAATTTACAGAGGAGAAGATGCAGAGAGAGAGAGAAGATACCAGACAGTCTGACATCATGGCATGGAAGATCATCTGTGTCAGAACTGATTTAAAGTACAGGACACAGAAGGTTCTGGATTGACATGACTACCAGCACTTCATGGTGTGGACTATAAAAAAAGAAGCCAGAAAAAAAGCACCATGTAGAAGGCCAACAAACAATAGTAACCAACATGGAACCAATGTCTAAGTTTACACATGCTCAGTTATATACTGAGTAGGGGATACAAGGGGTAGAGGGCTGAATGGTTCAACGCACAGTGAGGATGATCTGTCACCTAATTAACATTTGTATATTACCTAATAAACATTATACAAACAAAAGAGGTTATCTTGTCTTGATCACTATATAGAGGCCTGTTTCTAAAAGTATAAGAGAGCAAAAGTAAAAAAAAAAAGTCTCAGAAAAAGGTCTCAGAAAAACTATAAAATCACACAAGGATATAAGAATGTTGAAGCATGAAAATAGGGAGAATATACTTATGTGACTCAAACATCATGTATAAACAGACTAACATTAATTATTGATTAAATACTCCTATGAATCTATACTCTATTTCTTATAGTTCTTCTAAACATCACTTTTTATGCAAGTATTTCGCTAGTGCCCCCCCCCCCCCTCCCCCAAAACAACCCCCCCCCCCCCTTCTCCATTCATAATTGATTGTGAAATAGAAACAAGATGTCAGTGAGCTAATTCATTTATATACCAATTAATGTCATTATTAAGACATTCAAATATGACTGACAAGAAACAGGTTACAACAAGCATATCCATCGGAACACTTTACTACCAGTGCCAGACTTGGTCATTATCAAAGGCTAAATTACATAAAATTAACATCTGTGAAATGAAGTACCTAAGGGAAGCAGCCAGCTCAAAATATAAGACAAAGTGAGAAATGATACTATCAGACAGACTGTGGGCACAACAACATACACCAAATTCATTGGGAAATGGACGATCAAATGTCAGCTCGTCACAATGCCGCCACAAAAACTAGCAACACAGGCATAACATATTAAAAGAATGCATGTGAAAGCAAGAGGTCACCTGTCACATTATGCTGGTGTCACGTGTCTTTGTTAGGTTTTCCTCTGATGAAATAAAAAGCACTCTGAAGTAGTGTAGGTGTTGAGATCTTGGCTAGCAATGGTCTAGGTGGTATCCCGCAGTTCCAAAGAACATTCAACCTACTTCAGGGGTGAGGCAACTCAAATTATGGCACTAACAGAATTCATAAACATTTCTAGGCGCAACTTGGACTGATTTTGCCACTACTTTTAAGAGCCCAGACCAGATAGTAATCCTATGCTAGTAAAATGAATACAGTATAACATGAACTACACAATACCACACACATTCCAGACAACTTAAGAACCGTCAAGTGAAATATAATAAAACAACATGTAGTCAGTGCAACACAAGTGCGAAAGTAAGGGAATGAATTTATCAAGAAACAGTAAGCCAACTAAGGAAGCAGGGAATTATGTACTCATGATGGACTCCTGGTTAATCCCCAGCAACAGCAAGTGTCATCACTGCCAAACTGGTATTTTTTGACCTGGGTAACTGGCACTGAGTGTTAGGGTTGATGGCACTTGCTGGCAATCACAACTTATCTGCCCAGGATGTCCTGTTCACATCAGTGGCAGTGCATGTTTGAAGTCTTGGGAATTCCATCATGAAGATCAGGACTCAACAGTCATGAGAATTAACAGAACATAGAATATCTATAAAATACCACCAGTGAAAATGTCATCACATTCAATGGTATCTCACGGAAGATGGGTCCATGTGAACAAACAGTTATAGGTGATACTGCCACCCTCTGATCATCATAGTTGTTGGCAACCCCGTTTTATCAAAGACTTCTGGGTTGAAAATACAAGCTGATGGCGAACATCACAGAACAACTGACCATTGTCGTCTTATGGAGCCATTGACATTGGTGCATGGACAGGAATGAGTTATTCACTGAGGATCCCTCACCTTGTAAGCTGGATGTTGGTTACATCTCATAGTATTAGGATACTGATTGTTGATTTAGCCCCATATATTAATAACATCCTGAGGCAAAGAGGAAAACCAGAGTTAGCAATCAACAGACACCATATCATGTTCACCACCCATCCATCTATCCACATTATTTTAGCTCAAATGTCTAGGCTAGGCTTTTATAAACTGATTAAGTCTGTAAACAATTCCAGGATCATCAGTGGTAGCAGTGAGGTCAGAAAGAAAATATGTTCTGTCTAATGATTTCCTTAGTGACAGCGATAGTCTGCATATGCCAACCTACAGAGGGATAACACCATTTTCTTTCCATGACTGGGTACTTATACTCACACAAGCATACCACAAATACAAGAATATAGATGTATGGAAAGCATACTAGCAACAAAAACACGAGACACTGATCTTACTCTCCCACTGACATCGCTGTGATTACATTCTGGGCAGGGCGGACATGTCACACATGTACTAAAATTAGCAAAAGCCTAGCTGATACTAATCAGTACAGTCTGACCTGACCTGTTCGTTCTCTCCCTAGTTAAATGATACCTAAAGATATAGATTAAATGTGAACAAATCATAGTGTGACATGGACATATAATGTTCAAGCTGTGTGGAACCCGTTGAGGGAGTATGAGGAAAGAATTTTCATTGGTCTGAAGGGGAACGCTATATTTTGTGCTCTCCTGCAGTTTGAATTATTTGACAGCGAGGTCCAGTTGCTTTATATATCCCCCTCTGTCTTACACTCAGCAGCAGGGCCGAATGCTTTGGTACTAATAACCTTTAGTGTATTTACCCATGCTCATGGAAGTTCCCAGGTGAATAGGTGATTCAAACTGAGGTAAGCAGATAAAAAAAGCTCAGTCAAGAATGTCCAAATCTAAGTGTCTCTCCAGCTATAGGCAGGAGGGGATTAATCCGCATCCAAAGTGGTAGTTTGGCCAAGGAATTTGGCTTTACTATAAGTAAATCTCCTATTTATATGGCTGAATTTTTATATATATATATGTATGTCATTCCCAAGAGAAATAGGATTGGATTGAGTACTTAACCCGGCATCTTGACACATAAGTACAAAAGAAGAACTATTTACCTATGGAGGAAAGTCCAAGATGTGAAATCATGGCATTAACATAGAGATGTACAAGATGTGGGCAGGTCCAAGATGAGAGGGGTGTGGCCTGCCATGCGACATCACCCTAGGACCACACAGATTGATGACTTTCAACTTCGGCATGGAATGACTCCCAACATCACTTATGGACAAAAAAATTAAATTAATGATGATGTTATGGATAAATGTCATTCTTTCTCTTAGTCCCTTATTTGTTCAACTTTCAATCTTTTAGTATCAGTCTTCTAGCAATTGTGAAAGCATAACAGAAGATACTAGCTTGTTGAAATACAAATTATTAAGCCTGTAAAAATGCTTATTTCCATTAAAGAAAGAATAACATTGGCTGCCTCTGATTGCTCTTACTCATATCAACAGCCTGTAGCTATGATGGCCACTTGTATGCAGACGGTGAAGCTTTCACACCCAAATGGTGATCCATGTGATCATTGCCAGTGTGTGGATGGACACTTGAAATGTTCTCATAAAGTGTGTCCTAATGTGGCTAACTGCCCAGCAGAAAACATACAACAGCCAACAAATGGTGACTGCTGTCCTACATGTGTTGAAAGCTGTAAGTCTTTGTTAACTCCTCGTGCACTTGTCAGAAGATTATTAATTAATCCAAACATTTGTAACAGGGAAACGTCATCACTTGTTTGTCAGGAGGTAGGATATTGCGTATTAGTTGAAGGGTCAGGTCTTAGTAATCTGGACATTACTTTCTAGAACTATCAAGTGCAGAGAGGTATTTGCAAATAAATAACCTAGCTATATAAATAGCATCTGATGCAATCATTGACATGCCATATCAAAGAACTAAAGCCTTAATATACTGGCTTTCTAGAAGGCTATAGAAGGACACCTGTCAATCCAGTTAGCTGTGCTACACATTATTATTATTTTTTTTTTTTTTTCATTATTTCAATTTCTTCTTGTATTTTTTTTTTTCAAAACCCCTTCAGGATTGCAGCCTAAAAGATTTACATCCCCTGGCTCAAGAAGCCACTGAAGCCTCTTTTTCTGCCATCATTATATACTATGAATCTTTCCTATATATGTCATAAACAGGACAGTGTATAACCACTTCTGCCCATTAATGTTGTGTGTACTTCTTTAGACATATATGTTTCAACTCTTTCAGTAGCAAAAATTTCATTTCTTGGTCATTCCTAAGATAAAGTGAAGTTCTTACTATTAACTATAACTATCATAGTTTAACTACTTTTCAATTACTGACTTAGTCAATCTTCTTCTACCCTGTAGTGCAGAGGTTTGCCAGAGAGATTGCCAGACTTCTGAATTAGCAGTTTTCTTCTTAACTTTGTTACATTCAAGTCCTCTGTCAGCCAGAAACTGTTGGATGTTGTACTAACTACTTCTACCCCATAGGGAAACACAATAAAAGAGGACGGCGGTGCTTAACAGGCAACTAGGTCAAGCATGACCATGTAGATAGCCACTGCATCTAGAACACAAGCAGGGGCAGCATATAAAACAGCCACAGATCTAGTAATTGTATCAGACTCCTTGCACATGTTTCAAAAGATAGCAACAGGTAGTATGTGCTCTGAATTGATAGAAAGCATTCAAAAATCTTACTTAACCTTCCTCACCTAGATCTACACACCTGGTCATGCTGGCATAAAGGGTAATGAATGGGTGGACCAACTGGCAAGCAATGCACCAATGCATGTGGGGAAAAAGTCATGAATCTCTGACACTAACATGATTGTGTGACATGGGAGTAAAGTTGAGGCTGAGAAAGGTGACATTATAACCAACCTCTCATGGGAATTATTAGTAAAGGTACCTTGGAGAGGCTGCTGCAGCAGAGGACTGAGTACGTATCATCATTATCATCAGGTGCCTTGCCGACTGGCATAGGCGATCATGCCTCTCCATAATCTGCGATCTCCTGCAGCATGTATCAGTTCGTGTGCCGACACACCTCCATGCCATGCAACAAGACTGTCAAGCATCTTCTCTCGTTGTCTTCCTCTATCCCTTTTTCCACAGATCTTTCCAGTGGTCACAACATGTTCTATTTTCCCTCTTCTCATAACATGGCCGAAAAATGATGACTGTCTCCTTCTGATGTCTGTGAAAAGTTGTCTTCTGGCTCCCGCCTCTTTCAAAACCTCTTGGTTGCTCTTTTTGGCTGTCCAAGGTATTCTAAGCATTCTTCTGTAAAACCACATCTTTTAGGCCTCTACAAATTGTTTGGCCTGCCTACTGATTGTCCAGGATTCACATCCATATGTTAAAACTGGATGGGAAACGCATGGGAATGCCTAATGTGCAGTGAGGTCGATAGGGATAACATAACATAACCCCATAGAATCTCTGTTTAACTCCTTCTGACATGAGTATTTATTGTTTAAAAGCATAGTTTTTTGGGGGGGATAGAAGTATTTAAGAAAGTTTTTTGGGACTGAAGATGTAAAGGAATAACAGCTTTGGTACAATAAAATAAACAAAAAACACTCTTGGACTGAAAGAGTTAAAACAGCAACTTCCAAGATAGGAGGAGTTAATAATACAACAGACCATAATTAACTCAGAATTTCTTAAAAAATAATAGACACATAATATAATTTATTAAAAACAAAAATTTATTTAAAAGGTTTAATTAATTTTATTTGAACTCCTTGGTCCTGTAATGCTGCTAATTCAGCATTGCTGTCCATTACAGATCCTAAAAATGCACCTAAACTGGCATTGCTGCAGAGACTAAACCTAGTTAATTAAGCTGGTTCTGTTTGCACCTGCACAGGTTTTAGGAGGCCCTAGATATGTTTGTATTGACTAAATATAGCATTGTGGAGAGGGGTTTATTGTGAAAAAATGCCTTTTATTAAAGCCAGTATGGCATCAGAATTTATCTTTATTTAGTAGTTGCAGTAGGATGATGGGGTTAAGTATGTGTCACTGAATAAAGTGTGTTATGTACAGGAACTTTAATCCATTTTATTGATTACTCCCCATCATATATTCCCTCCCCATCCCCCTCCCCAACAGTTTTCAGTAAAAATCTATAAATTTAAAAAAAAATTCATTAGTGATCTGTGTAAAATTGTTGCTTTTATTGAAGGATTATTTTGGGAAGTCCTGGGTCCATCTATTTTATGTTTTCTCTCTAGGGTTTCTGGAGCAAAAGGGTTAAAAGCTTATATTAACTTTAACTCTTTAAACTCCAAACATTTGTTACTTAAACTTGTTCTTTTCTAAAAGGTGCCTCTCGAAAGTATTAAATGTTTAGTTCCCACACAAAAAAAAAAAAAGTTACTCAAGAGATATTAAGGAGCAAAAAAGTGAAACTTACAATTCAGATACAGTGAGCTGATTTAGTAATTACATGTTATGACACTATATGTGGTCTTTAGAGTGGTTTAAACAAAAATGAATGGTGTGTTGCTTGGTACCCAAATAATTAATCAAATACATTGTGTAGTAAATGAATTTTTTGGCTTGAAAATTTTCAGTTTCCTCCAGTTGTAGTCAAGCTGACATAGGCAAGGTCACCAGGCCAAGACCAAATGATCCTTGTTTTTACTGTGAATGCAAGGTGAGATGTTTGTACATTTAATGCACTATCAATTAAAACAGACAAGCAGGCTAGGGGATAGTGCATTTGTGGTAATTTGTGTGGTCATGATCTAAAGTAGCACAGTGGTTGCTTTTAATATTTCACCTTTTTTTGATTTTAAAACCCCATTGAAATTACATCTCTTCTTCCCTATTAATATAATTATCTGTTAGTGCATGGAATGTGAGTCTTTCCCATGAGTTTTCCCATTCTCTGTGCACATCTGATTCAGCCAGGTTTCTTTATAGCCTTTTTACATTTGTTCACTGTTTATTTATGTATACTATAATATTCTATTTAACAGCATTAAAGGTCTATGGTTAAGCACCAGCAAGGAGATAAAATAAGAATTTTGAGAGCATGCATCTTACCTGTAGCAACATACGGCTGTGTCATGGACTATCTTCCAGTCTTTAAGAAAGAGAATAGGGGCTTTTGAGCTGAAATGCTATCAAAAGATTCTCAGAATATCTTGAACAAAGAAGATGAAAAATACTGACCCCTTGAAAGATCTAAACATCAAGGAAGATTGGCTAATAAACAGCATCCTATCTCGGAAGCTGAAATATTCTGTTCATATCAAGTGCCATGACGGATTGGAAAAAATTATAGCAGAAGGCATGGTACCAGGAAGGAGAGGCAGGGGCCGACCAACACAAAGATGGCACAGGATATAAAGGACTCACTGAGTACGAAAGTACATGAGGCTGGAGAGCTGGCAAGAAGCCAAGTTTCTTTCAGGTAGACTGTGATGAGAGCGATGTTCTGCAAAGGACCTGCTACATGAAAATTATAATATTCTTCTTTATCTTTATTTTTCTTTTTTTCTCTCATCCATCATCTGCAGAATTTCATTTGTCATCCTGTTCTTTTCTTTTTTGTTACTCTGCTGAAGGAATAAGCTCTTTGCTGCAGATCCCAATGTTCATCAATAGTTTGTATCTATACCTATATAGTATGCTATACCTATGGGAAAAACTAGGGCTGCGTTTGCACAATTGGTGCATCCTTCTGGTGTAGACTTCAAGCTAACTAATGAAGCCAGTTGCTTGTTTCAGAAAGAATCTATAAATTCATGTTTTTATGTGGATTTTTCCATTATATGCACACACACACACACCAATTTTTTTAAAACTATTCATACATTTAAGATAACACCGTATAGCCAGTTGCTTGTTACAGTAAGAATCTAATAATTCATGTTTTTATGTGGATTTTTCCATTATATGCACAAACACACACCAATATTTTTTAAACTATTCATACATTTAAGATAACGCCGTATAGCCAGTTGCTTGTTACAGAAAAAATCTATTAATTAATGTTTTTATGTGGATTTTTCCATTATATGCACACACACACACCAATGTTTTTTTACTATTCATAAATTTAAGATAACATGTTTTAATAAATACCATTTTTTTTTTCAAATATTTTGTTAGGAAGATTTTATGATGGTTTGTATGAAGGAGGACTGCCCACTTCTTGCATGCCCTCCTGATGTCCAGATGTACTCTTCTACTCGGTGTTGTCCATTATGTCCAGGTAACATAGAACATTAATGTTATAATATATATGTACTACAAATTTTTTGATTTACTTGATTATTAAAATATCAGTCACACAGCATGCATCTAGAGCAGGGGTTCTCAAACTTTTTTGGCAGAGGCACCAAGTTTGAGAACCTTTGATCTAGAGTACTAAAATGATGTAACAAAAAAGGGAAACTCATAATGAATGATCACAAAATTAACCTGAAGTTTGAGAATATGAATGTCATATACAGATACACTGTCTTTATGTACAAAGTGTTTTTTTTTTGGGGGGGGGGGGGGGGGGGGACAGTGATTGGCATTTGTTGATGTGTTTACGCATGGCTGTGATATCTGTACCTTTCTCTCCAACATATTAGGTCTCTCAGCAAACCTTTTTTTTTAGTCAAATTTTATGAAGTGCTTGTTGGGGAAGTGCAGTTTACCCCTCCCCCTCCTTATGCTCTGCACACCAAAATAATTCCCTTTAACAGGGAGTGTCATAAATGAAACATTGTGAATAATGAATGGAGGAGGAGTAAGGTGTGGCTGTATATATATATATATATATATATATATATATATATATATATATATATATATATATATATATATATATATATATATATATATATATATATATATATGTGTGTGTGTGTGTGTGTGTGTAAAATAAAAAACTATTTTCCACATCTCCAGGCGAATTGAGTATATACATCTAGACCTATATTTTATAGACCAAATGGCACTTGGTGGGTAATGTGGTCAGCATCACGCCGGCTGTTTTTACTTTCCAGAATTGTACCTAGTACCCACTCAAGGCTGTGTCGCCCGGGAGTTGAGGTCATTTTTAAAAAAGTCGGGCCCCTGTCAGGACCCGAACCTACAAACTTCTGATCCACGGGTGAGCATCTAGCGGCTAGACAATGACGGCTCCCATATATATATATATGATATATATATATTTTTTTTTCAATTTTTACTAAACAGGAAGGTACAGGAGCATATAATTGATTTGTTTAAAAATGTGATTCTGAATAATTAAATTAGGAATCATTTGCACTGCTTTACTGTATATTTGACAAAAGTGTTGTGCTGTTTCTCTTGAATCCAGCTTGCTATGATCAGTCTGAGGCTAGATATCACCATGAAGGATCTAAATGGTCATCAAGAAATAATCCCTGTATTATATGTGCTTGTGAGGTTGGTAACATGTTTTCTCAACCAGTAAAATAGGATTTTTGTTTTTATTGTAACTGCAACATTTTAATTATAAGTATATTGTATATTGTGCATTATATTTTCTAGATTATCATGGATTCAGAAAAAGACAACTACTGACATTTCACAAGACCTGAACATGAAAGAAAATTGTTTCATAAACAGTGTCATGTTGTAGAAGCTAAAATATGTTGACTGTATTCAACAGCACTGTGTTCAACAGCACTGTGGTTTAGAGGACAAAAAGACATAAGTGAAAGAAGAAGCTGGAGTCATAAGACATTATAATGAGTTGAGTTGAGTTGAGTCACATAGCACTCTGCATGCTCTGTCTCATCTTCAGCAGCCAGTGCAGAAAATACTGTTGGTCCATCAAAAATCTGGTGTCCATCAGTTTCTCTGAGTGTAGTGAGCCGACCAGCTAAAGATATCCTTGACTGTAATTCAACAGCAAAATGCATTGTGTTCCAAAGGGCCTTGACACTGTGGATTTAGAGGACAATGACATAATGCCTAAGAAGACGCTGGAGTCATAATACTTATTTGTGAGGGCTGAGTAAAGAAATATTGAATTATGTTCGCACTCAGGTTATTCTCAGCACATTGTCCTCATGATTCAGTTTTTGTTGTGAGATATGTCAGCATGTTACAGATGCTGTTTGCTATTACCAAACTAAAGCATATCAGGTAAGCACAAGCAAATGTTTTTTTGTGTGTATTGCAATTGTAATTAATAATAGAGTCATTCACACACACAAACATGCATGCACACATGCACATGTGCACGCATGCATGCACGCACGCACACACACACACAAAATCATTATAGAATGATATTTATTGTCTTTTCAGCGTCATTAAATGTCTTGCTAAATTGGATGCCTTATTATTTTACTCAAATCCTGTGATCTCAGTAGCATGCATCAATATGTATGCTGGCACTTTTCTATAACAAAACATAGGACAGTCCATAATTTGCTCTCATTATCTTCATTTATATTTCTTTCCATAAACATTTCCAGGTGACAGATATTACAATTTTTTTTTTAATCTCTATAATGTGTTATAAAACTGAGGACTTATTTTGCCTGTTTGTTGAAAGTTGTCTTCATGTCTTAGCTGTTTTTTTCAAGTCAGATTACTCATTTAATGCAATGAGTTTATACTTGTTATTTATCTCTATAATGCAATATATTTTGTAAATCTTTAATGGGAGTCTAGAATATTTACCTGAACTTCTAAATATTCATGGCATTGGCACCCAGGACACCAGGATGGTGAGAGTGTATGGCAGGTGTGCCCATTTAGGGGAGTGCCCCCACCAGATGTGTCCTGGTAGAGACTAATCCTTCTAAGAATGAAACCAAATTACCCTATGTGAATGAAAGTTGTATATCCACAGAAAGCCTCAATAGACATGGAAGAAAAGCAGCCCGTTTGACATCAAGAAGCACTAAATTACGCTGTAAAGCCATATAAACAAAAATTGAAACTGTGATACCATAAGGGAATTAAAGAATCACCATCGTCATGAAGAATTGCCATATAAAGATTGCAATTATAACATAAGCTTTCCTTCTATACACACGTCATCCCCTTGTGGGATGCAATTTTTCGGTTTTTTCTGAAGCCCTACCCTGGCTCTTGCCAGGGGCCGCAATATAGCCTGACAGCTGAACACGATATCCGGGATCTCTCCACCGGTGATCTTCATGTGCGTGGTGGCACTTTGTGTCATCGGGTGTTTATTGCTCTGTGTGATGTCCTGGTTGGGTAAAATGTACTACTACTACTACTACTACTATCAAAAGCTTTCATAAAATGATTGAATACAATTAAAAAAAAACTTTTTTTTAAAACCTAGCAAATCAGAACATTTACACTGGGAGACTTACATTTTTTTTCAACTTCTAAAAAATTATTGTTTCCTTTTGTCATGATTTTTTAATATTACTTACTTCTATAACCATAAAGGACATCAGTATGTTTTAGGAAATGTTTTGAAAAATCAGACCCTTTTAACATCTAATATTACATAAAAGTAAGAGATAAATCCTGCACTAAAAATAAAAAATCCTAGTAACTCTGAGCAAATCCTCATTGTTCAATTACTATGTGGACAGAATAAGCCACTGTTTCCTTTTGTGGTGCATTTATGCACAACTCAACATATAATTTCAGAAATAATTTTTTTTTTTACTTGTATAAAATAAAGAAATAGTTAAGTTAGTTGTGTACTTTTTTCATGACATTGCTGAACCAAACTCAGCATTGTTTTGATGTTCATGATATTCCTAGACAATTTTGTGTTCCATATAATTAAATTAGATAATTTTTTTTTTTTTTTTAAGTTACAGTCACTAATCTTATTATACCATTTTTGTAAGATATTTGTTAAGTTTTAGCCTGAGAATTTAAAGACACATGGCTATTGTAGTTGCAATGAAGCTTAATTAATTTATCTTTATCCCTGACAGAAAATATCCATCAGAATATTGAGGATTATGAGTGGGTCTTTCAAACAAACAAACAAATGCATTCTAATTGTGATGCATGATGTACCTGTTATATTAGATCATTAACATTACACTTTACAGTTAAATAGTTTAAAGTCAAAGGAAAGCTCATTCTTTGTTTGACTTACAGCCTGGTGAAAGCTGGACAGTTGATGATTGTACGTCATGTCATTGCCAAGGTGGACGTGTTGCCTGCAGTATCAGGCAATGCCCTGCATTCCATTGTGAAATTGATGAGGTGCCAATCACAACACCTGGCAATTGCTGTCCTGTATGTCAGAAACGTAAGTAAAGGAATCACAGAAATAGTATGAGATCTGATTCTTTAGTTCCATTTTTGTTTTTAGAATCTGGTAGACCTACCATCCACATCATGTAGCAAGTCCTTTGCAGAATATCGCTCTTATTATTTCATGCTGATAAATCACTAGGTCCACTGCCAGCTTTCCCACAACACTTGGCAATTGCTTCCTGTATGTTGACATCTGGTCAGTATGGAGGATAGGCAGGTTTTGTCATTGCATGTTTTTGCTTCTGACAATAGTTGGCCTCTGCATTTTCCTCGATATGTAGACTGAAAGGATCTAGTTTCATTGCCCAGCTACTGAGTTGAGTGCATGATGTGACACTAAGAGCTGTGGATTTCATTTGCAATGCTTATGGATTGTGGCTGAGGTGGTTTGTGTTGTGAACTGTAGATTCAGAAAATAACAAGTGGTCTGCTGCCATAAAACTAGTGGTACCTTATGTGAGTAACTGTGTGTGCAACTATTGATCTCTTGTTGCTGCTGCTTCCATCAATGATAAACCGCTTTTCTAGTGTCAGACTGTTTGTGGTGGTGATTCTGATGGCTTCCTTATGCATTTAGTGCAATATGTATGCTATCGGATTTCACATTCTGAGATAACAGCCTGTGTCAGTTTTTCCACAAGGGACAGTGATGGACATTCTGTGTGGTTTTCCTTGGCACAGGAGCAGAGCAACTATGGGGTGATCTATTTGCTGTTCTTCAGGGATCAAGTGGTGAAATGCCAAAAAGGACTCAATGCTGTCAAGATTATGGCAGCAATGGACATGAAACAAAGAATGCTGTTCCCAGTGTTCCAGCATGTGATCCTGTCAGTGATAGATTATGGACTTGGAATACCTACTATATCAAAGAGTCAGCTGATGAAACTTGAATGCATACAGAATGAAGCCATGCGGATGATTCTGGGATGTACAAGAGATACCCCGGTAGTATGTATGTGATATATGCTTGCACTGCCTACTATTGCAGATAGGCTCAATGTTCTGCAAGCAAAGTCATATCTCAGAGTTGCTGCAGGCAAGAAGCACCTCATGGCACTTCAAGGAGTTACCAGGGGATCTGGCCAACACTCAGCGGAAAGGTGAGACAGATATACAACAAACAGTTACTAGTGCCATTGGAATTGGAACTCTTTGCTTGCTGCTGAAGATAGGGATAGTGCACTTATTGGAGTGTCCCCAGTGCTATGATGCTAATTTCTAATTCAGCATTCAACATACCATGGGACACCTACCAGTCAGTGGGTTGTATCTATTTCAGAGTAGTGCCTTTCTAACTGCATAAAGTTATTCTTGCATTCAAAAGAAAAAAGAACCTCTGGATAAACTTGCTGTTATAGCTCTCAGTGATCTCATCTTGTTGGCATGAATCTCAGTGGTGTAATTGAACTGGTAGCCTTTCATTACTTTCTAAAGTTGTGGAAACAAAGAGTCAAAAAAAGCAAAGATCTAGGTAGTAGGAATAGTGTAGAAGCAATGAATTATCAAGGTTTAAAGTTTGTATTTTGTTTTGCTCAATCAAGAAATTAATTGTAAATTGACAAGCGATTGTCCTTCACCTATACTGTCTGCAGATGGGGTACAAATTATTCCCCCTCCCCCAGCTCCCGGTCATCCTTTTCACATTTAAACCATCTACTTTTAAAACAGGAATATTGCTCAAATGCCTTTGATCAGCTAAGTCAAGACTTCGTGATAGGTTACTGCAGTGTGTCAAAAGTTGCAGAAACAGTTTTAACTTCAAAATATAAATCAAGGCACATACAATGCTGAATACTTTTCACATTCAAAATGCACCAAACACTACAAGGTCACATCTACTTATAGGCTTTCACTCTGCTCATTCACAGAGATATCATGTAGCACAACAATGTCAACTTGCATATTGCAGCTTTTCCATTATTTTATTTAACTAATCTGTGATTTATATGCATGATTAACTTGTATACGTAAAGATTGGCTGTTAAAGATATGTTTCCTTAGTTCTGCATTTAATACAATTGTTATGAAACAAAAGCAAGTGTAAACAATGAAATAATTCATATCTTTTCAGAGCCTGGCACTTGTCTTGTATATGGAGATCCTCATTATAGAACATTTGATGGAGCAACTATTCACTTCCAAGGCACTTGCAGATATATAATGGCTTCAGACTGTGGTGCAGATCTTTTCAGGTTAGCAAAGCTGTGTTTTATTAACCCTTTCACCCCATGAATGCTAACACAACTTGGTCATGAATCCACAAACCCCCCCCCCCCCCCCCCCCCCCCCCCCCCCCCAATCATTAATTTTGCGTGGGTCATGATACATTTTTTAAAGCACATTTTAAAATTTTATTTTGAATTATATAAAGATATATGAGGAGGAGGGGGGGGGGGCAATAAACATAAACAGAGTGAAGTATTAAATAGATTGTGTCTGATTTTCAGTTATAGTATGTTTGTATGTCTAATCTTTTAGTGTAGAAGTGCAACATGACAACAGAGGAACACCTGGAGAAGTCTCTTGGGCCCAGAATTTGACCATCACTGTAGCAGGGACTGTGATAGATCTACTTCAGGATAGAGCTGTTAGGGTCAGTAATCCTTAGTGTTATGGTTAAAGTCATCTGTTTCATTTGAGACATTTTTCTTCAGCTATAACATTCTTACATCCTATATAAAGTACTATATTGAAAAATGCCACTGTGGTCCAATAAAGAAAGGGGCAAATCACAGCTGCATTTTCCCTATTGTAGAGGATGAGAAATAAAATACTGTATGGATTAATGGACACCTCTGGAAGCCCTTTGTTCTTTGCAAGGGTATGACAGATTTGAGCACTCACTTTCTCTGGAACTTAAAAAGTGCTAGATGCTGATGAGGTCATATAAAGTCAAGTGAGTGTAGAGAATAAGAGGAAAATGTCATACTACCCATCTTTAGAAACTCATCAAAGGGAACAACCAGCACAAAGGTGAACATAAGATGTGAATCACACACCATGGCCACGAAAGTTCACGATGTGAAAGGGCTGGCAAATGCCTGAGTGGCATTCCAGCATGTCGTAATGAGAGAGATATTCTGTAAAGGATCTGCTACATGATGATGATGTTTCCTGACTAGGGTTCCGGGCTATATTTTGTGAGAAACAGGAACAGATCCATCCCTTAACAAGCATGTAAAAGAGACTAGTAAGGGGTATTTCTTTCAGAGTTGTAGTGCATCTGCTTGCGAAATAAGGAACCAATAGTCTGCACACAAATAAACCAGATCTGTAAAATAAATGTGCACTCAAAAGTCAAGTTCTGAAATGAAATCAAAATCCAGAACTAGAAGAAAAACAAGAACTTTCTACCAGAGTGTACAGCCGGTGAGTGCAAAGAAGAAGATGATGATGATGCTGATGATTCAAGGTAAAATGAGGGAAGTTCAAGGTTTGAGACTTCCACTAAATTACAAAGGTTTAGATGTCTTTCAGTTGAGAGTCCTGCTAAAAAAACTGGCAACAGAAGGTTCACATTGGCTATAGACATCCTAAAGATAGGATCAGTGTTTTACTTCAAATTGGGAATGCATCTTCCTGATATTCAAAGAAACAATTGACTGCACAAATCTGTAAAACTGACACACACACACAAAAATCAGGCCCTGGAACAATGTCTAAAAATGTTCTTTTCAGATTCACAACTGCTGAATGCAAAGTACACATTCATATTGAAATACATGATCAAGATAGCAAGATTAGCATTTATTATGATAATACTTGCCTATCAGCTAAGTCTTCTTCTTCTTCTTCGATCCTTCTGTCAGAAAACTTATATCAGGAGGCCGGTAGCCTTTATGAAAGCTATCGTGCAATCCATATCCTCTCGTGTACCATACAGTTTTGTCTTCATTGTGGTTGGAACAGGCCAGATTGCGTCTCTGTTGTCAGCATACAGTTGACAGTGTTGGAGCACATGCTCAGCATTTTCGGGTGCCACGCTGCAGGGACACGTCTCCGTATTTCCTACACCGAAAAATTTGAACATATGTTGACGAAATCTGTTGTGCCCTGTCCTTAGTCTGAATATAATAGACTGTCCCTCTCTAGAGAGGCGATGAAGTGAGTCTTGGGGAGAAAATCTGTTGTGGGTATCCAGCCACCTTTCTTGGATACTAGATTGTATTAGTGTTTACATCTCTTCGTGGGTTAAGTCGCTATTTGGTTGTACCATGTCACTGCCGCTTCTGGCCAATCTGTCTGCTATTTCATTGCCTTCCAAGCCACAGTGACCTGGAATCCACTGCAGAACAGATTGTTCTACTGAAGAGCCTAAGTAAATAAGCTGTTGCGTCAAGTCTACAAACTGAGTGTCTTTTGGGTTAACAATTGCTTGTAGAACTGACATAGCATCAGTCAGAAAGACCACTCTGCTATATTTGCTGTGCTGTTGTCCATTCAGGAAAGAACATGCGGCTAGAAGTGCTTCTGCCTCTGCTCTGTAATTGGAGGAATATGAACCTGTTGGTACAGCCTGGTTGATTTTAAAACCATTTGGGCATTCTATGTATATTCCTCCTCCTCCGTCTCTTACTGCTCTCTTGGCTGAACCATCTGTATACACTCGAATCCAACTCTGGTGTGGGTAAAGTCTATTGATCTCTCGTTCTGTAGTTGATTTCATATCAGTGCTGCTCATTGATGATTTGGAGGAGACCCCTGTTACAGTTGTTCTGACTGTTGGTAGGCTATCCCTAAGCCAAGCGGGGCAGTCGTTGTAAGGTTTAAGTGGAACATTTGGTATTATGGGAGGGAGTTTAAGGACAGCGAGCTTGGCATTTGCGTTCTCAATAAAGCAAGTTCTCTTTAGTCTAGCCTTCTGGGGTTTCTGCAGTCGGCTGTACATGGGTTGTTCTTGAAAGTGGTGGTATTTGGAGAGCTGGGTGAGGATCTTTGTGTCTCTCCTATCTTCCAGATTATGGAGACCAGTAATTGTTTCCATATCTGATATGGGCGTGGAGCGCATTGCCCCTGTCATAATACGGAGAGCATGGTTTTGGATCTTTGAGACTTTCTGAAAATTTGATTTAGCTGCTGTGCCCCAAGCAGCTATTCCATATTCTAGTGTTGGCCTCACATAGCCTGTATAGGTCCTCTTAAGGACATTGAGGTTTGCCCCCCAGTCTGTTCCAGCTAACTTCCTCATCAGTTGTGTTCTCTTGAGTCCCTTGCTCTGTGTCTTTTCTATCTGTTTTCTCCATGTGAGTCTTGAGTCAAAGGTTACTCCTAAATATGACGGTGAGTCATCATGTATCAGTGCCTGGCTGCCATATCTAAGTGAAACTTTCTGGGGTTTGGTAGAGAGACTGAAAATGGTGTGTGTGGTTTTGGCCCCATTTACAGGCATGTACCAGCTATTGGACCACCTCTCTAGAGTTCTGAGGGATTCTTGAAGCCTTGTCTGTGCTTTTTCAGTGTCCTCCTCTGAACTCAGTAGCGCCAGATCATCGGCATACATAACGGCTTGAACTCCATTACAGAGGGTTGATTTTATGTCGTTAATGTAAACTAAGAAAAGAATTGGGGACAGAACTCCGCCTTGTGGAACTCCATGTGTCATTGAGACTGATCTTCAGCTAAGTGATTCTGGTGTTTAACTTTACTGGTAATAAGATCAATTCAAACTACGGAAGTAACAATTAGGTAATCCTAGAAATTAACAAGTGTTTTTAGCATTTAATATATATAAATAAAAATTGTAATGTTTGTCTGTGGCTAATTGTTAATCTCATAAAGTCCTTCACAGGTTGCATTCAAATTTTGACACAATGTTGAATTCAAATATGTGCCTGTCTTTATATATAGTGCCATACAAAGCATGAGCATCTTGGTTATGTTTTCCGATGATCTGATTTTTTTCGTTGCTATGTTCCGTACTCAGTTTTTATTGTTGCCAGCAAGTACTTCTGCTGGTAATCAAACTTTCACTGTTGACCTCAGAAATCTGCATGAACCTGTATGAGATAATACATTTTGTTATGTGGATGTCTTCACCAACCTGAAAAAGTGGCAAAACAGACAGTAGTGACAGTCTCTTCACCAACCTGAAAAGGTGGCAAAACAGACAGTAGTGACAGTTTTTAGTTATTGTGGTGCTGGTACTAGTACTCAGTGGATGATGAGGTAAATATTACACTGGCCGCATTTAATTCTCCTTACAATTCCTGCTACCAATTTTAAATCTGGGTGGACATTGATGCCAAGGTAAATTTTTAAAAATATTGTCAGGTGATAAATTTCAAATCCTTAGGAAAGGGAGAGAGTAGTAGTCGTTGGATTGAGGGGAGGGGGGGGGGGGGATAGGGTGATGACAGAAACTGTAAACCCGGAGAGCTTAAAACATTATTGTAAAGTTTTCAGTTTTTTATTATTTATATTTTTGTAACGCTACCTCAGCTATCCTTTTTTTTTTTTTTTCGATTTAGTTGGTTTTTTAGAGTAACAGTAGTAAGTTTTACTTTCAGCTGTTTCAAAAATAAAAATGCTTTAGCACGTGATAAACAAAAAAGAATTTTTTTTAATATAATACAATTTAAATGACCACTAATGTAAAAACACAATTATATGTTGCGTGTTCTAGAGTCTGCAAACCAGACTATCTCTATAACTGCACATACAGCTATTGTGAAAATTACCATATTAGACATGTGCACTTTCTATTTTCTTTATTTTCTGTTTAACCAGACTGAGCCACAACAAAGCATGTCTGAGTACAGCTAGTTCAGAACAACAAAAGCAGTGAGCTAAATTCTGACTTTTTTAACACTCATTTGCCATTTTGTAACAGAGGCCTCACAAGTCTAGGTATCATAGGCAGCTCCTGATTAAAGATGTAATCTTGCTGACATTGAATAATCAGTTGCTAGAATGAGGGTAAAAAGTAGAAATATAAAATAATTTTTTTTTTAAATCCTCCCCAAAACTGCAGTGTGTAGAATTAACATCTCACAGATGAGAGAAAGTCACCTGCACGTCCAGGAAACCTCGTTCAGCCACATGACACAATTACCCTACAGTTATAGCGGTCGGCGTCTGTGACTTGGGCGTTGCAAACATGCTCAAAACCAGCTGCAGGACCTGTGCCTTGCATTGATTTTGACAGTGGTATTGAGAAGCTGACCATCCAGAAAGCAATGGCAAACTAATAGACGTAAGCTTGCCTAGAAAAATCACAACTGCCAAAAAATGCTGAGGTTGGTTCTGCAACGTCCTGTAAAGGATACACAACTAACTTAACAGTTTTATCATCGTGACAGTTCGGAGTGGTATTTAAAAAAAATAACTGTTTGTGGTAAATAGCTTTACCATTGAAATACCAGTATCATGACCTGATTTGTTTACATCTCACCAGCTTTGAAAGTATAACACACAAAGGAAACATGTTATGCTTTCATCTTTATTTCAGGTGAATGACCAACTTGTAGTCTTACCGTTTCTATATGAGCCTCATGTCTTGATAGAAGAGTCTTCCAATTATGTACTGCTGTCTACAGACATTGGATTAAGAGTTGTGTGGGATGGTTCCAGTTATGGAGAAGTCATTGTGTCAGGTAAAATAAAAATAAAATGTTTGCAGGTTTTTTTTTTTTTATAAGCAATGAAGACACAAGTCGTAAGCAATTTAGTTTTTTACATCTAAGAAGGTTTTCATTAATACTAAACAAACACACATTGTTCTAGTCTTAGGTTCATTTTTGAAATTATCATGTCCTACAGACAAGTGATTTTTTTAGAAAAATTCTAACAATACCATAGACAGATTAAACCCATCTGAAAAAATGTTTTATAAAGAAATTAACTGATAAGCAGAATTGTTGATTTCGTGAGAAGGAAGAAATGTTTACTCTTTGGGCATGCCATGGGAGGGAAACACTGGAGGGTGTCATGGCAACAGAAAAATGTATAGGAAAGTGAAGTAATTGGAGACCAAAAGTAAGATCTTAGTTTAGCATCATGACATGTATGAGTGTCTGCCAGAAATGATAGATAGTGCACAAAACAGAAAGTTGTGCACAGTCATGATAACCAGTAACACACATAACGGAAACTAAAATTAGTACAGTGCCTACCAGTTGTTACAGATCTTACATATTTTCAACTATCAGCATTACAGATTTATTTTTTATATGACAACATTTTTGTCATATCACTGATCTTTTCTTGATCTGTCTCATAAAATATTTATATAGCTTTAAGTGATCAGGTGCAAAATTATCTTACTCCTTGCTTTTTTTTCTTTTTCTTGGTCTCTGCCATATGGTGTTGGATGTCTAGAACTGTCTGTCTCATGTTCTTCAAAATCATTTTTGACACAGGTGATCCTTTATGCCTTGATGGCAGTGTCTAGCATCTTTTTTTTTCTTAGTCTCTCTCTCAGCATCCTCCTCTCTGACTCTCCTGCTGTCACAGTGTATTCCAGTTTCCTCTTTTCAATCTTTGCTTTTTCTGTTGATAAATGCCCACTTTATTTCCCATATAATTGCTGCTGCCAATTTGGCTTGTCATGATAATTTCATTACTGTGCACAATGTTGATGTATGTTGTGTGTGTGTTTTTTGTTTTCTTATGGAAGGGGAGGAAGAAAGGAAGTTTCCCATTAAACCAGACAAGAAACAGTGTGGTACGGGGTATTCCTTATGTGTCACACGGTGGATTTAACATTCTCCTATGTATGTGAATAAAATCACTTCATCACACATAACAGAAATAATTTACAGTCTAATTTTCAGGTTACAACAATAATTTAGAGCTTATATTGTATTACATTGTATTAGCTAAGAAGTTGAAGAATTTAAATATCTAGGAAGTATATTCTCGGAGGACAGGAAAATAAATCAGGAATTAGAAACAAGATGCCAATGAGCCAGTTCACTTATATTTAAACTGACACCTTTATTAAGACATCCAAACATAAGTATGACTGCCAAGAAACAGATTATAAACAGCATATTTATACCAACACTGTGCTACCAGTGCCAGGCTTGGACATTATCAAAGGCTTATCTAGGTAAAATTAACACATGTGAAATGAGGTGCATGAGAACTCCCAGCGTAACCACTGAACAAAGTTAAAAATTATATTATCAGACAGCCTGTAGGAACTATACCATGCAGCAAATTCATTGAGAAACAGAAGATCAGTTGGTTTGGTCACCTATTAAGAATGCAGCCAGAATAACTATCAACGCAGGTGCTACACATGAAAAGACCTTATGTTAAAGCAAGAGATTGCCCTAAGAGAAGAAGGAGCAATGATATTCAAGATATGATATTCATTGACATGGAATGACAATAGCCATTCCTGCCTTTGAAGCAATAATCATCAAATGTTCCTCCCCATGATGCATAATGGCACAAGCAAAAATTTATATTAAGAATAATGATGATGAGTGTTTTATAATACATAAAAGAAACACTTAAAACTATATAGATAACAGCAAAACTTGCTCTGACAAATATTATAACTTTTCCATTTGTAATAAGGTTTTTTTGCTAGTAACTAGCTTATCGTTCTGTTTATCTTACATTCATCTAGGTTCATTTAAACAACTTTGTGGTCTGTGTGGTAATTTTAATGGTTTCCCACAAGATGATCTGCGCACCCGAGCTGGCCAGATGACCAGTTCACCAGCCACATTTGGCAACAGTTGGAAAGTGAGTAATTTATTTCTTAAGGTCACAAAGATTTTTGGCTATGGTGATATTTATTTAAAACGCTTCTAGACAGTATGTAAACAATATCATAGATCATGTTCTGTTCCGTATTTTAAGAAACATCAGCAAAGATTCTCATTACTTTCAATGTTTCTCTCTCTATCTCTATCTCTCTCTCTCTCTCTCTCTGTCTCTCTCTCTCACTCTGTCTCTCTCTCAGTTAGCACTTTTGAGCAAAATATTTAATTGCATTGCACGTCTTTATTTTTTTCCATACTATTCTTAAATCTCTATTATTTAATTTCATGTTTTTGAAATTCCTCTTTTTCTTCTGTATTTTTTCCTAAAAGAGTGTTTGGCTAGCTACATTGGCTTACAATTAGGCTGGGATGTCTGTGCCTCTAGGCCCAACATATCGTTTCAGTAAATTCTTAATTAGTTACATGTTACGACGTGCTCCTGAAAGAGAAGTGGGTCTATACTGTTTTCTCCACACAAACAAAAATGATGCTCCAGAACCCACATGTGAAGTTTCTGATAAAAGTTAACAAGTCTTTCATAACTAGAGAAATAGATGAACGAAAAAAAAAGAGATTAGAGGTCACATCAACAAAATTAAAATTGAGAAGTAAATTGATTACACCAGAATTTGAACTCGCTTTTACAAAATGATGCCAGTGTCTCACTTTAGGTGTTGCATGCAATCGGGGGATGTACTGCACATTTGCCAAGTATCTAGGGAATGGTTTATACATGTCAGTCCTCAACACATACACATGGATTCTCTCAGACAGTGAACTATGGCTGCCGAGTTTCATTGGCACAGCACATACTGATGGTGACTACTACTGGAATAAAGGGAAGCCAACCCAAACAAGGAGCACCACAGTATGTTAGGCGCATATAACATCGTAACAAACACAATACATCTGGCAAAGATTACATGTTCTATCATAATAAAGAACACTGTATAAGAACCCTGTAATACACCACTCCAAGTATGATTTTGTAGTGTGATCAGTCTTTGTATTATGAATGAACACATTGGGACGAAGATGAATTGGTGATCAGTGAATCACTGTCAAGTGCTAAATACACTCACATTGGCAGTCATGCGAACATGGACAAAACACCCTCAAGCAAGCTTTGTACAGGTGCCTACTATGGGCGACTCAGGCCTGATCATGCAGATTCACCTAGCTGATGTGCAGTGACCGCCCTCTGACAGCTTCCCCTCTAAGAGACCCCACCACCTGAGGGCCCAAGATAGATGCACCACTTGGTGAAAAGAATCCAGATCTCAAGTCTGCTAGCCAGTCACTTGGTAACCAGCATTCCCGATACCTTCCCATCCCAACTTTAAGTTGATTAACGCACAGAAAGTTACCACAGCACCTTCTGTAGCTCTTAAAGACACCCCATCAACCAGCGTGTCAGGTAGCCGTAACTTTACTGACCCCACATACAGGGGCTGACACCAGTACATTCTAGAAAATCAACTCTGACAGCATTCTTAAGTCCAAATTATGATCCACCACATTAACTGGAGAGTTTCTGAGCTCAAACAGAATAGAACATATTGTTAAAACTGTCAAATGGGACTTCAACAATTTGCACAAATTTATTATTTTCATATTACAGGCAAGTATACAACCTGCAGAAGGCTGTAGAGAGGCTGAAGATATTGATCCATGTTTAGCTGCAGGCTTCAGGATTCGCAAACTGGCTACAAGCAAATGTGCCATTTTGAAGGTAAAGTTTATGTGATTGGTTTATAAAAGCACAACAAAAATATGTATTTATTTGAGTTTTTTCTGTTTATGAGTTGTATTTAGACAATAATTAATTAAACAGATTGAATAATTAATTAAACAGATTGCTTAAAAAAAAGTGAAATGTCAAAAGTGGCGCACACAAAAACCAGCATCCTTCATATACCAGTAATGTCTTGTAAGCAAAATAGAATTACAATTTGTTTTTTTAATATCCATTATTAGGATTATTTTTCAAATAGAATAATGTACAAGCTTTTATCTATGGATGTCAGAATGTGATCTAGGTTATCGTAAACTAACCATCATATGAAATAATTATTTTGAAAATGTTATTTTTATTGTATTTAATTCATTGTTTATTTTTTAAATTTTTATCAGAGTGAGACTTTTGCTCGGTGTCACAGAACTGTGTCTCCAGAACCTTTCTTCTCTTCCTGTGTGTATGATCTCTGCATCTGCATGGATAATTCTAGCTGCTTATGTGACATACTTGAAACGTATGCTCATGAATGTGCTAGAGCTGGAGTCAAAGTTGAATGGAGGTCTAGAAACCTTTGTGGTAAGTTGTTTGTTGTTGTTGTTGTTCATATGATTTAACACCAATGTGAAACAAGGGTATGTAGGTCTTGCCTGTGTCATGTTTTCCTTTTCATAAAGACATTTCTTGACAGCAGAAATTAACACCCTCAGGTCCATCTCTCCACTTTCTGAAGCTTGAACTCCTTGAACCCAGTGGCCAGTTGTGTTCCTATGCTTCATTAGTCACAGGAAAAAAAATTCTCATGGCAGATGATCTCTAATTGAGTCTCACTGAATTTCCACAAAGAGCTAGAACAGACAGTAACAAGCCTATAATGTATGTTGGTAAATCAGTATTTGATTTCTTGTCATGTTATTTCATGTATTCAATATAAGTCACCAAAACTATGTTTTAAAATTTGTATTATTCTGCCTATGCCACAGCCTTTGAATGTGATGCAAGCAAGGGACTAATGTTTGATGAATGCGGCCCGGTCTGTCCTCGAACATGTGGAAATCTGCAAGTGGCTGCTTTGAGAAATATTACAGAGACATGTTTCAAGCCATGTGTCGCCAGCTGTCAATGCACAGCAGATAAAGTTCTGCATGAAGGTCAATGTATCTCTCCACGAGACTGTCCTTTCATTGAAACATTACCTATTCTATAGATACATAACATGAATTATGTTAAATATAAAAATAAACAGAATATTACAAGACCTGAAAATCAATATATTTATATATCAGCCTTTTTTTTTTTCAACTTCAATACAGTGTTCAGTATATGTATACACTTTACAATCACAGATTCCCAATTTTACAAGACTTTAAAATCAATATACTTTTATAAAAGTTTGTTCTCAGCCTTTCTGTTGTTACTTGAATGCAGTGTTCAGTATTTGTATATACTTTACAATTACACATACATTTCTTTATCATATAAAGTTTGGTATACTCTTTAATTTAGATATATTCTCAGCTTCTGTGTTTTTTTTTTTTTTTTTTTTACATTTAAAATGTTCAATATTTGTATTTACTGTTTCAAAAACATATACATTTCTTTGATATATATATATATATATATATATATATATATATATATATATATATATATATATATATATATATATATATATATATATATATATATATATATATATATAGTTTGTGAAATCTAAAAAAAAAAAATTATATTCATGTTCTTTATTTTTGTATAAAAAATATGGTGTGTTCACTGTTTGAATTTACTTTACAATTTATAATTCAATAATTCTCCGTCCTTTTCAGGATAAAATTTTTCGTTATTTGAAGCCCTACTCTGGCTCTTGCCAGGGGCAGCAATATAGCCTGGCCATAAATATGGCCTAAAGGCTGAAAGTGGTTTCTGGGACCTCTCCACAGTGATCCTCACTCACATAGTGGCACTTTGTGTCATCGGGTGTTTATCGCTTGTGTGATGTCTTGGTGGGGTAGAAAGTCAGTCAGTCAGTTTACAATTAAATATACATTTCTTCACCACATAAAGTTTGGTATACTTTTTGATAAACAATATTTTATACTTGGTCTCTCTATTACTGTCAACGTTGTGTTTCTGTGGTTATGTGCCTGTGTTGTTTGTGGGTAATGTACTTCTGTATTCTTTTTTAAAATGGTTTTAAAATTGTGACACATTTAAAAAGGCATAGGATGGAGGTTCATTCCATTACATAGGCTGCCTTAGTGGAATGTTTTTTTTATATACATGTTATATACATAAGTTATTCTTAATTATTCTTATATTTCTAAACTAATTTTAACTGATCCTCTTTCTATGAGAAGATGGAAATATTGTAATATAGAATTCTGTCCTGGATAGTCCTCAATACTTACAATAGTAATGTGTGGCTCAAGTAAAGAGGATCTCAGCTCAAACCCACATACTCCATCACGTAAGTAAAAATTCTGGACCGATATTTTCACATGTGACTGGCTGCAGAGGTCATCATTGTTGTTGCTAAGGCTGCCATGATGTTGATCGGCAGCACACACATCGTACACACATTGAAGAGTGCCATGCGCCTCACTTATCGTACCAAGGAGCATGCCAAAGGACATCACTCCATATCCCTGTCTAGACTGATCGACATGGGGGTGCAGCCTGGAGTTGTAAGAAATGAACGTTTCACTAAGGGAACAAGACGTTTCATTAACCAAAACAGAACAGGCTTGATCAGTCGTTTTACATTTGTGGAGCTTTTGAGGAGGAGATCGGAGCACCTATGGATCTGTCCGGAATGCTGTGATGATAATCCTTTCCAATTACTGATAGTAATGTGTATAGCTTATCATAAAAGTGGTCAATGCAGGTTTGCAATCCAAGCACACTAAGTGAGAAGTCAGTTACAGTGGATATGGTAGAAAGCTGTTTTGTGTTGATCTGAATGAGTGTTGTATCATTCATGCAGTGGTAAATTACTTACCATAAAATTTACATCCCAGAATTGCTGAAGATAGTTTGCAGTGCACAAAATTAAATACAACTAACTTTTAACAGGAATAACCAGACTGCTTTGACCTCAGAGTCAACTATTCTTACTTTTCCTGTTGGTTCTGACATCCATTTATTTTTGTTATTACTGTGATGCTTTCTTTAAACCAGTTTCTGATGTTCAGTGAAAAATGAAATTTGCATTTCATCATATATATATATGTGTGTGTGTGTGTGTGTGCGTGCGTGTGTGCATGTAAACATTTTGAATGTGTGTGTGTGTGACTTATTTGTTAGAGTATAACGTTGAGAAAATTAGAAAACATACAGAAGTTTTTATGTTGTTAGAGCGATTGATTGATTGACTGGCACCTTTCCATCTTTCCAAATGATAGTGTTTTATTGTGCTGTGAGGAGGCATGAAACTCACAGCCCATAGCGATAATGAGTGTAACTAGCAAGACCCACCCATTTCAGGAAGTCTTCCCTAATTATAGCATAGGATTTCAGGACCATTGATGTCAACATTTGTGTTTAATCCTTTTCTTCTCAGACTCTTAGCTCTCATCCTTTTTTGCAATAATTTCTTCCTACACTCTCATTCCCTTCCTGATATGCCCTCTCCACGCAAAACGGTCCATGGCATTTTGTTTCCATGAGTCCACCTCAATACCTGTATCAATTATGTCCTGCTTGCACACATCTTTATACCGTAGTAGAGGTCTGCTTCGACATCTTCTACCCATCTTTAATTCACTATAAAGGATGTCCTTAGGGACTCTGCCATCCTCAATTCTTCAGGTGTGACCCAGCTCCATGAGCCTTTGCTGACTGAGCATTGAGAAGACTGTTGTAGTTGTTAAAACAATAGACAAATCTGGTAATCTGGTAATCCTAGTTTCAGCTTCATAGCAAACAGGTCACCCCGTAGTTGTTCCGCTCCTGTGCCAACGAAAAACACAGGCCATGCACTCAACTCAGAAGCTGGGCAACGAAACTTTATCCGTCCAGTCTACAAATGGATCAAAAATGCAACGGCCACCGTCTGGCAGAAGCAAAAAAAAATTAAAAATTTGCACGGCTAAAAAAAAAAGTGGCTGTGCCTAGCGTCCATTTTGACCTGAAGCATTATATGAGGGTTTATAAACAGTCACCCCAGCAGTACCCTCACTATTAGCTGGGGAAGGGACTTAGGACATTACATGCACCAGCAGGCGTCGCCCCTACAACGACCTGACTGCCTTCGTTAACGACTGTTCACCCAACAGCCATGCAGTTCTTTGGCACGAAGGAGACACTTTGAACTTGGATTTCAGACTGCCGACTCCCTACAAGATGTTACTTTATGTTTTGTTATCACAATCGACGTTACTGCACATTGGGCATACCCATGCGTGCTCAGTCCTCTGAAGCAGCAGCAATAGATAAATAAAAATGTGTAGTCTTGGAGCAATAAAATATTTTATGATTTGGTAGTCTTGTGAAAACAAATTGTCAAATAATTAGATGCATAAATATGTTCTCATCACAACTGTTTCTTGCAAGAAAATTCTGAAAAATATCCAGTAAACAATTCTAGGTGATTTGGGTGACATGCTGCACTCAGGGAAAGGTAAAACATATCTCTGGTCATGCTGCTATTGATGAAACAGTTTGCTGGCTGGTGAAGACAGGGACACAGTAAGTTAATTAGTTAGTTAGCTAGGTTATCATCATTGCACTCCGGACATGTCCATAGGTGCTCATATCCTCCCCTCAGTATGAACCCCATCATCCGATGGCTAATAGTACCAGTTCTATGTTGATTAACAAGTCTTCTGGTGTGTCTGGTGTGCGTCTCGTTTTTTGCTATGCCGATCCTAATTCCCAAGTCTGCCATTCTGGCGAGTGATGTGGATTCACTGCCACCAAAGTCCTCTATGCTTCCCATTTCTCTGAGGGCATTAATATCAGCATGATCCATAAGGCTGACCGCCGGTAGTGACAGCGGATCCAGCCAACCTATCAGCTCTTTCATTTCCATTGACGACTGCGTATCCCGGAACAAAAATAAAGGTGACTCCACGCACAGTGGCCTGCTGTAATGATTCGAACCATTGTCTTTCCCACCGACCCTGCCTGAACCTTCTGGATCATACTCATTGAATCACTGTGTACACATACGCAGGTGTAGTTTTGTGTTTTGAGCCAGGTACACGCTTGTATCACTGCCATCACCTCCATCGTCATGCTGCTGGTTGACATGGAAAGGCGCCGTTGGCTTCTTTGACTGTTCTGCCTGCTGAGCATCCTGTGAATCCCCATGCGCTTCTTCCTGATCCTAATGTGAGTTTTGATGCCCTATTTTGGGGGGAAAAGAATAGACCCACTGCATTTTAAACATGCATGTCGTAAAAGGTAACTAATTAAGGATTTAGGGAAACTGGATTATGTGGTCTCAAAGTAGCAGATTTCACAGCCTAGTTTTAAACAACAACATAGCACACCAGCTGCCCTTTCAATTGTGAACACAGAAGATGACTTATCCTGTCAGGAATAATTACTTCAAAGTGGCCTTGCCATTGTCAGAAATTGATTTTAAAATACTAATGACTGAATAAAACTAATTAACAATGCAATCATTCTTTTCTACTGCCTGTTCTTCATTTGTTGGTGATACTATCATTTATTAGGTTAAATTTGAAAATCATGTTTGCTCTTAATTCAGTGTAGCCCTAACTGCTTTTCATTTATTGCCATAGAAACATTCGCACCCCCCAAGGCACAAGAAAAACATCTACGCACTTTCAGAAACATATTTGTAATTAAATATCTTTGTTATCTTTTGCATTGAGGTATAAATTAGGCAAATTAATTAACTCACATTATCCCGAAATCAAGTCATTACCCTTGCCTGTGTCACCTAACAGCATTAAGAAAAGAAAGACAGCAGACATATGGATTAAGATATTCCCTTTATCTGTTTAGCTGAGCAAGTAATACCAAGTTATACTTTAAAATATTCATAAACTATACACATCCAATTTCATCAATATATCATTTACAAAGCGGTAATTGAAACAGATATTCTAACTGTTATATATGTTTAGTGTATATAATTGCATACATTTTTGTGAACATCTTTCAGATTTATATGTCTTATGAAAAGATTCATTTGTACCACACAAGTGCAGTCAACAGTATAATAAATAGTGTACACAA